AGTGGCTGTAACGGAGACATGGTATAATGAGAAAAATGCCTGGGACATAGCAATACCAGGGTACTCTTTATATAGAAAAGATAGAGAAGGCAAGAAAGGGGGAGGGGTATAAAATCTAGCCTAATAAAAGTTAGGAAGGCGAACATAGAGTCTGTTTGGGTTACGTTAAAATTTGGAGATCACACAGTAACTTGTGTAGGTGTGAATTACAGGTCCCCCTGGACAAATAGAAGAGTTAGATAATCTACTAGTTGAGGAAATAGCTAAAATGACAATGAAGGGGGAAGTTATCATCATGGGTGACTTTAATCTTCCTGATTTGAACTAGAAAACCAAAATAGCTGCTTGTGCCAGGAGCACACATATTCTAAACTCCCTACTGGGATTGTCTCTAAAACAAGTTGTTGAGGAGCCAACTCGTAAAGAGGCCATACTAGATTTAGTGTTAACAAATGGAGATTTGGTATCAGATATTACTGATCCAGTGATCATCAGTCAGTGTGGTTTTATCTAAGAACAGTGACTGAGTCACACCACACAAAAACTAAAGTTTTAGACTTTAGAAAAACAGACTTTTCTAAAATTAGAATATGCATAAAGGAGTCCTTGTCAGACTGGAGCAGTTTAAATGGAGTCCAGGAGAAATGGCATTATTTAAAAGTTGCACTACTGAAGGCAACATAAAATTGCATTAAGCTTGTCAGTAAAAGCAAAACATTTAAGAAATCACTGTGGTATTCTGCAGATGTGGCCAAAATAGTAGAAAACTAAAAGTTAGTATTTAGTAATTATAAAAAAAAACAGAGTGAGGAAGACAGACAGATATATAAGATTAAGCAGAAAGAGTCTAAGCAAGTTATGAGAGCCTCCAAAGCACACACAGAAGAGAAAATAGCACAGTCAGTAAAAAAAAGGGGGGGGGATAAAACACTTTTTAGATACATAAATTAGAAAAGGAAAGTAAAGCAAGGATTAGTTACATAAAAACAAAAGAAGGAATGTATGTATAAGAGGATAAAGGTCTAGCTGATTGCCTCAATGAATATTTTTGTTCAGTATTTACAGATGAAAATGAAGAAAAGGGGCCTCAGTTAGGAAAAAGGACAAATGAGTCATTTGTTACATGTGAGTTTACAGAGGAAAACTGTTCTATTTCAACTTTCAAAAGTAAAGACAAATAGGTTGATGGGGGCTGATGCGATACACCCAAAGTTATTAAAAGAACTTAGTGGTATACTAGCAAAACCATTAGCGGATTCATTTAACCAATCATTGTTAACAGGAGTAGTCCCAGAAGATTGGAAATTGGCGAATGTTGTACCCATTCACAAAAAAGGTAGTAGGGAGGAGTCTGGAAACTATAGGCCAGTAAGCCTTACTTCAGTAGTGGGGAAAGTGATGGAAACCATGTTAAAAGATAGGATTGTTGAACATCTAAAATCACATGGATTTCAAGATCAGAGACAACATGGATTTACTTCAGGGAGATCATGTCAAACTAATCTTATTGATTTTTTTGATTGGGTATCTAAAATAATAGATCAGGGTGGTGTAGTAGACATTGCTTACCTAGATTTCAGTAAGGCTTTTGACACTGTTCCACATAGAAGGCGCATCAATAAACTGTAATCTTTAAGTTTGGATCCCAATATTATTGAATGGGCTAGGCCGTGGCTAGACAGGCAACAGAGGGTTGTTGTCAATGGAGTATATTCGAAGCAAGGTCTAGTTACCAGTGGGGTACCTCAGGAATCTGTACTTGGACCCATTCTCTTTAATATTTTTATTAGTGATATTGCAGAAGGTCTTGATGGTAAAGTATGTCTTTCTTGCTGATGATACTAAGATATGTAACAGGGTTGATGTTCCAGGAGGGATAAGCTAAATGGCAAATGATTTAGGTAAACTAGAAAAATGGTCAGAGCTGTGGCAACTGACATTTAATGTGGATAAGTTCAAAATAATGCACCCTGGACGTAAAAACCCAAGGGCAGCGTATCGGGTATTTGATACCCTACTAACCTCAACATCTGAGGAAAGGGATTTAGGAGTAATTATTTCAGATGACTTAAAGGTAGGAAGACAATGTAATAGAGCAGCTGGAAATGCTAGCAGAATGCTTGGTTGCATAGGGAGAGGGATTAGCAGTAGAAAGAGATAAGTGCTCATGCCATTGTATAGAACACTGGTGAGACCTCACTTGGACCGTATCTTCAGAAGGATATTGATACTTTAGAGAGAGTTCAGAGAAGGTCTACTAAACTGGTTCATGGATTGCAGGATAAAACTTACCAGGAAAGGTTAAAGGATCTTAACATGTATAGCTTGGAGGAAAGACGAGACAGGGGGGATATGATAGAAACATATAAATACATAAAGGGAATCAACACAGTAAAGGAGGAGACTATATTTAAAAGAAGAAAAACTACCACAACTAGAGGACATAGTCTTAAATTAGAGGGGCAAAGGTTTAAAAATATCATCAGGAAGTATTACTTTACTGAGAGGGTAGTGGATGCATGGAATAGCCTTCCAGCTGAAGTGCTAGAGGTTAACAGAGTGAAGGAGTTTAAGCATGCGTTGTCACGACAAGGGTGTATAATTTATTATTACACTATGGAATATCATCCTTTAATGTACAAATTACAGAGATGCTATTGCTGAGGTCAACAGGGGTTATATCTTTTGAAGCTGGGACCCCCACAGAGGTCAGATGACAGAATGGGTAGTGTGAATGGCATAGCAATGTGAAAAGGGTTTTACTATATGGATGTGAAGTAATCAAGGATCTGCAAGGTGTGAGGTTCTACACTTGGAAAAGTCTGAATGTCTCTTCATCCATTTGGCATGTACCTTGTAAAGGATAGTTCAATCATTTTAAATGGTAATGGGATTCGTTTCATGAAGATCCTTGTGTTCCAGTATCTTATCCAAGTGAAACATTCATACTTACCCACAGGTTAATAATTAAGCCTCATTTTTATTATATTTGGAATGGGACAAGCCCAATCTTTTAATTAAGCCCAAACATGAGTTGCACAACTTAAACCGTGTGGCAGGACTTGTGATGTCCATCCTATTGGATCGTGGGCGGGGCGTGCAACATGTCTTTGGAATGGGAAAACAATAACAAATTCATAGAGGCAATTATTATTTCTGTGGCAAGTACAGTAGAGGAGATAAAACCAAAAGTTTGTATGTGACTTGTTGGTTTCTGGAACAAAGGAGGTGGTCACTTAGTATCCCTATTGCTCCACCCCTGGATGAGGCGTGGTAATTCACAGGGTATATCTCCTGTGATTCTGAAGGGTGTTGGTGTACTTGCTTGGGGCCAAGATCTAATTTTGAGTGAGTCACCATCTTTCCTTGCCAGAGACCCCCTGGACAGAAGTTGTACTTTGAAAACCTAAGTGAGTAATTAGGACTTCTGTATTTTATCCTTTTTGTTGGTGTAAATAATTTATCATATATTTTTATATGCACTGTGACTATCTTTTGCTCATAATAAACATTCATTTATTAAGTTTTGCCTTTGTCTGGTTAAGAATCACTTTACCTGAAGAGACTAGTTAGTATTTTTGTAATTCCTTAAATATTGTACTAAGTAATATTTGGTGGGTTTTATAGTTGATTTACCTGGTGAACCAAGGCACCCCATTTATAAATTGTCTTGGTGGTGGCAGCGTTGAAATGGTAATAGTTATATTATTATGTTTAAGTGTGGGTGGTTTTAAAAAGGGGAATTTTGTCATTATTTCCGGTCTAGTGCAGACAAATAGTGTACTTTAACCCTTTCACCGCCACAACTACGTCATGCACACTCTTGGAGTAGGGTGCGTTCGTGACATGCGTGGGATAGGCATAAGGCTATCCTAGACTTAAGATAAGGCCAGGGACAAATTAAAAGTATTTTGAAATTTTGGGTAGACTAGATGGGCCGAATGGTTCTTATCTGCCACCACATTCTATGTTTCTATGAACCTGTTTAACATTATACTCACTAACATAAGATTTATCTTGTTTATGTTATAATATAAAATTGTGCAATTCCTTTCTAATACCCCAATTGTAACGTATGATACTAGGCTTGAGAAATGCCGTTGGGGTACCTCAAGCTTGTTTGTACTCAGCTTATGCACAGCAAAAACATTTTTTTTTAAAAACAGCCTTGGTCCTTAACAGTAAGAAAATTTTAAACCGGTCTGGTCACTAAGGGGCAAATTAAAATATCTATCTATTCCATCTATCTCAGTCATTCTGTATATAATTTTGTGGTTCATACATATAGTCAGATACCTTATGAGGTGGCCATCCTTATACGAACACTATAGCATTAGGAATATAAACCTGTACAGGTAATGCTATAGTGTCCCTAGCTCTACAAAAGGTACCTGTTCTCCCCCTGCCCCCCATGTTTGGAGACATTGGAGACATAATGAGCATGTACAGTATGTGTTGCACATACATTCAAACTTCCCCAAAGGGAAGCATTGAGTCAATACTTTCCTATGGGTCTTCTGTGTCAAGTCAGTGAAGCAGAAGCGACTCTAGTGGCTGTCACGGTGATAGCCACTAGAGGTGGACTTAATCCTAAAATATAAATATTGCAGATATCAGGGTACTGTTGCGTAGTGGTGGGCTTAACACAAGATGGCCCTATAGTGGAACTGAATTCCCATATTTGTTTGCTGAGAAAGGTGATTTAAGTAACCTTGTAAAACGTAAAACTATTTTTGTGTGTGTGTTGTTCCTTAATCTGTGTTTTGTATAAATGTTGGTCTCTACGACAGCACCACTGCTGAAAAACGTATGTTCCAGGTGTGCCCCCAATTCTTTTTTTTTTTTTACTATGTAAAGTTTGAAGAGCTGAAAAATATTTGTTTGTTTCACAAAATACCCACTGAGTCAATATTACAATGTAACCTTTAGATTAAACAATACCAAAACCATGATTATTTTTCAATGGCAAACGGATAACTGAAGATGTCAAGAAATTATGATGTTTTTTATCCAACAAACTTTATTAATACACAACAATCTCAACCTGCAGATACCAAAGATAAATAGACAAATATGTATCTTGTGATGTTTGACAAACATGTGATGAGTATTTTCTAAAACCTGACACAATCCTACCAAATAGTCTGGTAAATTACAGCTTTTTAAATGAGTTTGCAAAAGTGTTTAAACAGCTTGTGTAGAGTTGAGAAATTAAACAAAAAGCCTGTATGGCAGCAGTATCAAGACAGAATCTTTATGAAAAGCTCTTTAGACTGTGCTAGAATTTTTTTGAAATTCCATTGCAAGTAAAAGATATGCATTTGACAAAGTAGAGACTAGTACTACTGTGTCTCGTGTAATTAGCAAAAATATTAGGTGGCGGCTGGTACCTCTCACAAAACTAGGGCAGGCCAGGAGATCTATGTCCAACCTACACATTAAAGTTTCACCAACATCTGTTTTCTGCACTGTATGCTGTCACCAAGGGCTTTTCTAGGTACATGCTACATTTCTAGGTGGGCCTGACCATTATGGGTGTCACCAGTGACCTAGGTCACGTCTCAGGTGACACCTCTCAGATCTTTCCAGATTCCATAACTTCACCAAATGGTTCACAATGAGAATAGTGCTCCGTGGGATCACCTAGTACATTTTTTTATGTGTGCACGATTTAGTAAATCATTCCAACTATATAGGTATATCATGTCAAGACTTAATAGAACTTGTTCACAAAATACTAATACGGTGGGAACTAATTATTAAATCATGCACACAATGTAGAGCTCCATACTATAAAAGTACAAAAACCAATTAGCCCATATCCAGGTTCAGACAATCAGATGTAAATATTGGATGATTGGTCATTGTGGTTGGCCACCAAAGAGTTCTTGAATGGCCCATTCATATTGCAAGCTGCTTTGCTATGCAGCCTTGCTATATATATTTATTCAATTACTCCCACAAAGTTATTGTTATCGTGTGCATGTTCTATTAAATTGTGAGCACAATTTAATTTAAAATTTATAAAATCCTCGGTGGAACCAAAATGCCAGCTAAGGAGAGTAAGAACGGCAAAGAGCAAGCCCAGAAAGGTTAGTTGTGCACAAAAGAAAGAAAAAATACACACAAAAAATGTTTATGATGCACAGTTCAATAGTAATTCTAATCCTCAGAGTAGTTATATAATTTACTATGCTGGCCCACAAATCTTACAAACCACAAAATACTGGTTTCCACAGTTTGTACACAGTTAATGCACATTAAATCTTAGTCTCTTTCATAGTACCGTCCATACAAAGCAGCAGACAATAGGCTAGATGACATGTCGTTAGCATTCATATAGAACTTATTGCCTTTCCAGCCGCTGAAGTCAGGTAATTGTACGGTTACACCTGATGTAAGCAATAGAGGAAAGATGTGCTTCGTGCTAAAATTCCCCCACAGCTGGAGATTTATCACACTGTCGGCATTTGTTACCTCGTGTCCACAAGTACTGGGCTCCAGTCCACCACATTTCACTAGAGCACAGATCTGTAGGGAATATGTGCCATGCACCGTATGAAGACCATCAAACACACCTAGAGCATACAGTTCATCAGATAAAATGGTTTTCTTATATTTCAGAAAGCAGCAGAGTGTTCCAGCACAAACATCCAGCATTCCTTCATTTTGCAAGAGAGGAACAAAAGTGAAATTATCATACATCATCTCACTATAGAACGCATGATGTGGAACCTGGTCAGTGGCAACGTCTCGCCCACAGGGCTCCTCTGTTTCTTCTGTTTCACAAACTTGATGTTTAGTTAATATACTACTGTATATCACCTCACTGTTCTCTGGCCAAATCTGGTCCTTGGAACCTACAATAACATCTTCCGATGGGTTCACTGGCAGCTTTGCCAAAATAAGCGTACCATTTTCATTTGTCATGTCGTAGTGGTAGGAGGAGTATGAGGGGCTAAATATCCCACTGCCCGTCATACCAAGTGTTGTGTGGTGAATGTTTGCTGCAATAAAATTAATGTTAAAAGCAGATGCAAAGCCTCTCTGTATTTGAATGGCAGACAAGAGCGGCAGCTGGTTCATCCAGGCTGCTGGGTACACAACGTGCTTTACGTTGTACTTCTTGATCAGGCTCACCGCAGGTTCAAAGAACAGGATATCGAAACATGTAAAAGTGGCAAATTTGCTGGCAAATGGTGTGTCAAAAACCACATGCTGGACCTCGGGAGGTGTATCAAAGCCAAATTCAAAATACAAGTTTTGTTTAAAATAGGTGGCAATGAGTGTGCCATTGTCATTAAACACCACATTTGTGTTAAACTGGAATCTTCCATCTGATGGACATTGGGCTTTGAAAGGTTTACAGGACATCTTGGTTCCCAGGTTTGCAACCAGAAACATTCTGCCCTTTGTTGCCATACAACTTAAGCGTTGGAGAACCTGCAAACAGACAATGAGGACACAACACTGTTTATTAATGGACTGTACATAGTCCACACTAAATGCAGTTCATCCAGGCTAACCTTATTGCAATTCTACTTTGTTGATTTTTCACTAGTATCCATTTCACATATTGCAATATGTATGCAGCTTTCATGCCCCCAACAGTCCCTATTTCGGCGATACATCCCGATCTTCGGTTTCTGTCCCACTGTCCTGGCTTTGTTCCCTGGTATCCCCACAAGCGCGTCATTAGACTGAAATCGCCCTGCATGCCCTGCCCTCAGTGGGTCGGCCTGCTTTATTAGTAGTAACCTACCATTAATTGGGGCGGACTCACCCCCTTTCTGGGCGTACCTGCCTCTTTTAGGGGCTACTGCATTTAGTCAAAGTGTTATGATGTTCTTCATATTCAAGTCCGTATTGGATTGTATTTACTTATTTTAAGTGATTTTTTTTTTCTGGAGATTTGCCATCCCCTGGGTCTGAAGTACCAGTATGTTATTGACATTTTACTATTGGATATGTGTGTAGTTCCTATTGGATTCTTTGGGAACCTGCGTTATGTTCATGTCGGCTCCCTGTTGAGATTTTAAAGATGATACCAGCATTGGATGATTTGGGAAATAACAGGATTATCCCAACTGAAATACTGAGAAATTTCTCTAGTTGAAATGGGGTCCACTAATAAGGGTGGCCCTAAATATTTCTATAAAGACAAATACAAAACTATTAAAACATATTACACAATCAATGTTCTAGAAAACTGCAGTTAAAGGGACACTATAGTCACCAGAACAACTACAGCTTATTACATTTGTTCTGGTGAGTAGAATCATTACCTTCAGGCTTTTTGCTGTCACATATGTTACAACAGTTCAGGCTTTGGTGATGCCACCTGTATTTGATGCCCAAACCCAACTACCTCTGTTTGCCCTGCATCTCTAAGTCTCCAGAAAAAAAAAAACAATAAAAAGGTTTGAAAATTTTACCTGGGATCACTTGAGAAAAGACACCTGTGTAATCATGTGTTCTTCAGTGCTCTGTGCATGCATTAGCCTTTCACAAGACTTGTAAGTCACAAAGTCATGTCAGTACTAGCACACAAGTCAACCACTGACTGATATTGCTTAGCGTGAGGCAGATACCTATGGTTATTTTTGGAGCCCCGACCCACCAACCCATGGGTGGAGGCTTGGGTGGGACACTTAGTCCCCCTCATTTGTATTATAACTAAAGGGGGTTGGGGAGGAAACTAGTTTCCCCATTTATATCATAATTAGAGCTCCCTCCCTCTTCCCATGGGTGTGGGGTACTCAAGGCCCACCTCTATTTAATAACAGATCGGGTCAAAGGGGACATTAGGATGTCCAAACTCCCTTTTAATTAATAAATCCTTTCCGCTGTCCAATAGAGGTATTATGTATATATAGAGCCCCAGTATGGGGACACTAGGTAAAACTATATTCCTCAATATTCACTTTGTTGTTTCTTTTGGTTTTTTTATATATATATATATATAAATACACACACACACACATTATCCATGGGGGCAAGGGGGTGGACAGTGATCTTCACTTATATTCACTTACCTTTACTTCATTTTCATACATTAAAAGGCTGTGTAAGTAAACTAATCATTTGTTTCACATGCTTATTTTAGAGCCCATTAAAAGTCTTAAATGCAAAGAAACAGATACTAGAATTTGATTGTTACCTTTTATTTTGATATGTTGCAATACTGTCTTGTCTTGTATCCAGTTGTTTATCTATTGCAGGGGTAGGCAACCTTTTAGAGGTACTGGGACAAAAGAGATCTTGAAGTCCATTGGTGTGCCGGTCCTTTATTTTTTTAAATTGAAGTGTGTATGTTGAAATATTCTGCATGAATTATTTATGGGGGCTGTAGCTGCTGTGTAAAGATGTACATGTGGGCTGTTATATTGTATATGTCTATGAGTAGTTTGCGTGTGTGGATTACATATCACATTGTGTGTTTGGTGGTGTGTGAATGTGTGGGGCTGCTTGTGGGATTGCGTGATTGTATGTCAATTGTCAGTGGTGTTGTGTTTGTTTGAACTGTGTGTGTTTGTATGTGGGCTGTTGAATTATTTGTATGGATGGGAGGCTTATTTTGCAGCTCTGTGTGTATCTAGGAGTGTGGGTGGCTTCCATGGGGTCCAGTTAGGACCAGGCTGGCCAGGTACAGTTCAAGGGCAAAAGCTGCAATGGCTGCTGTGGGCTGCTCTACTCCAGGGTGGATTCCAGTTCATAAGTGGTTGGAGGAAGTGATCTGAGATCACTTACTCTAAATGCTGCAGTGGATAAAGTATAGATTGAGCATCACCTCCTTTTTGCACTAGCAAATATCTGAAGTTCCACTGGGACTCCTGATGGGCCAGAGCCTGTTTGGGTCTAGCAATCTTGAGTGCCGTGCAAAGGCACCTCGAGTGCCGTGCATGGCACATGTGCCATAGGTTGCCTACACCTGATCTATTGCATTTGTACAAATATGGCAATTTCGTATTTTGAACTGATTATTGTACCTGTAAGTACTTTGCATGAAATGGTGGTGGCTTGTGAGTGTAACAGAAGAGAGTTATATGAAGTCTGTCCCCTCCTCCAAGGTGCCACCATCTTATTTTATCAGTGCCTGGCGTTTCACTCACCTAGAGATTGCTATCTAAATATAGTGCTCAGGAACACAACGGAATCCTGAAGCTATCACTGCTACCGCAGAAAGCAGAGACAGCCAATTCACCCACTGAAGTCAAGGAATGTACTGTACACCTCCCTTCTCCTCTGTTTGATACGCACATTTTAGTGTATGTGATAGACATACCAATGATTTTAATTGCATGAACATACAGGTTTATTTACTAAAGTGAGAATTGAAGGTGAATTCAAAGTGATTTTCAAATTTAAGATCAAACTCAAAATATTTAAAATAAAAAACGGCAAACTAGAAAAATTCTTACAGTCAGTCATGCTTTACATTCAGCTACTCTGGCTTTAAATTTAAAATTTACTTTGAATTCTTACTTTAGTAAATAACATTGAAAAAAAAACAAAAAACAACAAACGGACCATTAAATAAAGCAAACAAGTCATGATGGTCCAGGCCCTCAAGTTCAATCCAGTGGGCAGATTTATTGGAGCAAAATCTAAACATCATAAAATAACGCAAGTCAAATGTCTCACCTCTGTGTCAAGGAACTTGGAAGGCTCCAGACATGGATTCCATGGTAATAAGTGGGAAGGAGGGATTTGGTCCAAGTAGGGGTAAATGGATTGTCTAGTGTAGTTAAATCCATGGATTCCATCTTCAGGGAAGACAATTATCTGTGCACCCTGACAACAAATAATTGTAAAACCATTCATAAAAAAAAAATTGCAAAATGAACACATACAATTATAAATATATAGTGTTTGAAATGTTCCATTAAATACATTTATTTGCCTTACTGTATCTGATATTATAATAGTTTAAAAGAACAAATATGTGTTGCTCATAATATACTTAAATTAGAAATGTGACAGCAGAATGGGAAACCCCAATCAAACCGCTTCTTGTCATTTCAAGGCTAAGTCAAAAGCTCATATAATAACGGATTGTCAAGATTTAATTACAGTATGATGTGAAATACACCCACACGGTTCAAACAATTCATTTCATTTGTACCATTTCTAATATATGGCTCTGCCCTTCGTCGACATATTCTAATTCTACGTATTCTTTTCATTGTAACCAATTTTACTACATACCAGTATTGACAGACTTTGTTGTCATGAGCACTGTCTTCCATTAGTCAGAGAGCTCTATTGTTATCATCGCACTGCTTTCTGGCTTAATAAACATAATACAATTTGCCGGAAATTACCTTAATTAATAGTATATTATATAGATAATGCAAAAAAAGACTTCAAAGTTGCTAAACATTTGTTAGTGTCAGTAGCATGTGGACTCCTCTATGGTCAGGAAGAAGTCCCACCACTTGGAGCCTCTCAATCTAACCTTATTCCGTAAACCCATGATCAGCAGTGTAACTGGTCAACAAACCAATGGCAGTAATACTATGGTTTCTATCAGTTTACACTCAGATTAGTTCACGGCTATAGTAACAGCGTGCACACAAAAATTCAGTTTAAACTAATTTGGGGATTTAGTTTTATCATATGACCATATCGTATTAAGCCCACCACTATGCCACAGTAGCCCAATGTATATTACAGTAATTCCAAATTAATAATGGTAGCATTTAAAACAAAAGAAAAAAAATTAAATAACAGTTACTAACTGTACTTAGAAAGAGCTAAGTTTCCAAAGTATCTAGTATATATGGCCATCCATGTATCTCATTCACTTTACCATTCCATCTCATCCATCCAATCCGCGACTGTCCTAATTTTCATGACCTTAACTTATCATCATATACACTTTTGCTTTTCATAATTATTATCGCCATTTATATAGCGCCAACAGATTCCGTAGCGCTTTAAAATATTATTAGAGGGGGGATGTAACTATAAATAGGACAATTAAAAGAAAAACTTAGTGGAACGATAGGTTGAAGAGGACCCTGCTCAAATGAGCTTACAGTCTGGGGTATAAAACACATTAGGACAGGAAATAGCAATCCAATAAGGTGGGAGTGAAGCAGAGCTGGAGGAGAGAGTAGAGTGCTGCCCTTTAGGAGAGAGCAAGAGACAGGTATGTGAGCTAGAGGTTACTCTGGGAGGCCATAAGCTTTCCTAAAGAGATGGGTTTTAAGGCACTTCTTAAACGATTGAAGACTAGGGGAGATTCTGATGGCGGTAGGCTGGCTATTCCATAGGAAGGGAGCTGCCCCTGAGAAGTCCTGCAAGCGTGTGTTGGCTATATGGGTGTGAGCAGCGGACAGGAGAAGGTCAAAGGCAGAGCGGAGAGACAGACCATAACTATGGATCTGTGAAGAGATATAAGAGGGGCTAGAATTGTTCAGTGCTTTATAGGTATGGGTTAGCACTTTGAATTGACTCCTATAGAATACAGGAAGCCAATGTAAGGATTGACAGAGGGGTGAGGTGTGAGCGAACCGACTAGAAAGGAAAATCAGTCTGACGGCAGCATTCATTACACACTGTAGAGGGGAAATACGGCTTTTGGGAAGACCAATTAGGAGAGGGTTACAATAATCCATGCGGGAAATTACTAGAGCATGGACAAGCTGCTTGGTAGCATCTTGCGTAAGAAAGGGGTGGATGCGGACTATGTTTTTAAGGTGGAATCTACAGGATTTGGCAACATACTGGATCTGAGGCCAGAATCAAGTATGATGCCAAGAGAGCATGTTTGCAAGTATGGACTCAGTAGAGTGGAGAGGGCAGAAGCAGGATTGAAGAGGGTCAAGGAGAGAGTTGGAATTAAGGAAGTGAGACACACAGGTAAAGACAAGTCTTTTCAGAAGCTTTGAGGAGAAAGGGAGCAGGGATATGGGATGATAGTAAGAGGGGGAGGATGGGTCAAGAGATGTTTTTTTCAGGATAGTTACTACAGTGGCATGTTTAAGGTCAGCAGAGACAACATCAGAAGAGAGAGAAGTTGAAGAATGTGTGTTAAGGAAGGCACAAGACAAGGGGAGAGAGATCTGATAAGGTGAGATGTGACAGGATTGAGCAAGCAAGTGGTGGGGCGAGAGGAAAGGAGAAGCACAGCCACCTCTTGTTCAGTAGCCGGGGAGAAAGTCTGAAGGGTAGGAAAGGCATGATCTACATGTGGTTGAGAAAGAGATCGGCAAGGTGGGGAGAAATTTTTCCTTAGCTGTTCAACAGTAACATGCAAAGTTATTGGCTGTAGGGCTAGTTTGGGGGGTGGCCACAGCAGGGCGAAGAAGAGAGTTAATGATGTCAAAGAGATGCCTGGAAGTGCGGAAGCATGAACTAATGAGGGCGAGGGCAAGGGCTGCGCTGTATGAACACAATATGAATCTGTAATGGAGAAAGTCTGACTGTGTGCGAGACTTCCTCCATGAGCGTTCAGCACAACGGAAGCATCTTTGCAGGTAGCATGTTGATTTAGTATGCCATGGCTGGGGGTGTGTCCTCCTTGAGGTGCATGTTTGGAGTGGGGCTGCAGTGTTCAAGGCAGAGGTGAGGGTAGTGTTATATGTGGAGATAACCAGTGAGGGACAGGAGAGGGAAGGGATGGATAGCAGTTGTGAATCAATATCAGCTGCTGGAGGTCAATAGAATTAAGGTTCCTCCTGAGTTGAGGGGGGTTAGGTTAAGTTTGTTGGATAATGAATAGTTAACATGTGAACGTGGAAACTAATTGAATTGGGTGTAATTCGTATATTTATTTATAAGTGTTATGCCAGAGAAAAAATATGATGGATTACAGTAAACTGAGCTGGAGCTACAAAATGCTAACATCGTGAGCCAAGAGCTATGATGAAGAGTGTCTCAAATGCTGATAAACTGGCATTTACTTCTAACAGCTCATACTCTGAAAAAAATGTTTTGCAAACTCCACACACAGCTGACTCTGCTTGTTCATGCGTGAAGTAGTTGTTTATGGTTTATTTGTTCTAGTGAGCTGGGCATGGGCTGTTTATATGGTCCACAGCAGGGGTGCTCAACTTTTGGAAGTTGTGGACCACTTTGAAATGTTAGCACATATAACAGGCCACACAAAAGACAACTCTTGTATACAGTGCAATAGCAATGAAATGAGTGGAAGAGTAAGTTAATGAGAACATGGACTCTACTTATTTTTTTTCTTACTAATATTTCTGTTAGAAAATTGTTAGGAACTATTTCTGTGGTAACTAATCCTGATGACAGTAATTTTTGTCCTCAATTTTGACTTTGAATGCTACCTTCTGGAAAACATATGCTCACAAGAATATGTTCTTACGAAGAAGGTGATGATTCAAAATTCTTGTCACATGCATTTCCCTTTTCTACGTAATTTTCGTAAAATTATGTGGAAGGCACTTCATCAAAATAAATTTTTTAGGTCTGTGTCACATTGATGGTCAATAATTCCAATTTCTTTGGAAATTCCATAAATTCTGGTTTTGAAGCTGGCAATTCAAGTGCACTCATTTCATCTGAAAAGATTTGATGTGATTAAACAGGACATGTATCAGTTAATATTTTGGTGAAGCTTTATAGGCCACATTGAAGGGTCCAGCAGGTCATAAGTGGCCCGCAGTACATGAGTTAAGAATCTCAACTCTATAGTATCTATGTCCTTTCTTGAAACTAGAGCCTTCCTAAGCAGTCTAGCAGGGAGTGGTTATGCTCAGTTCTGGTTGTAAGATATACATTTTGTTGATTTGTAGATTAGCTACTAATTGCATTAAAATATTTTAATCAATAATTTCCCTTTAATCAGAGTAATATTTTGTCATAAAAAGGATGAATCCTGAAAAGAAATATACATTGTGTGATAAAAGAATGGATATAACAATGTGTAATCATTGAAGCACAAACCACCTTGATTTCTAAAAGGAAACATGCTTTAGAGATGTTCTGGTGGTACCTAAAGGAAGCAATAAAACAAACCTGAAATGCTGGAAATAATGTAGGATCTTCTTTCAAAAAGTTTAAAAATGTAATTAAAGTAACACACCAAAAACCTAAAGCATTTTAGCTTGCTGAAGTACTTTATGTGTGCAGAGTGTGTCCTCTGTTTTATTTTAGAAAAAGTGCAGATTTCAATATACCTTGTTACACTGCCCCTGGTTGTCAATCAGAAAACCGGTCCTGTTACTTCCTGGTTTGTTTAACTCAGTGGAGTTAAATTGAAGATGCAGGCAATGCCCAGAGTACTTGACTTGCAAACACATCTCATAGAGCTGCGCTGGTAGGGTTTGCAAACGCTGCAATCAAAAGTTGTTGTGGTGGGGCCTGTATTGCGCATTTGTTTAAATTAATTATGAATTTAAAATACGTTGTATATATTCCCCTCTCCCTTCTTCTTACCTTTTGGTAGGGAGGTGCAGATTGCAGCCTTCTGCCTCCTATCTAGTGACCATAAGATCTCCCCACCGGCCCAGCCATTAATATATGTAGTGTAGCTGGTGCCCGCTATGCATGGGCTGGCAGAGGAGATAGATAGTAGGGACACACATACACTACATTCCATAAGAACACACACACATTACATCCTCTACAACAAGCATGTCAAACTCAAAGTCTAGCGTGGGACACATAAACAAGGTTTAAGTTTATGTGGGCCGCAAAAAAAACAAACCTTAAATTTTCATAGAAACGTAGGTTTAATTTGAAAAGTACAGTATAATAAAACCCCCAGCATCCCCCTCTACTAAACCACAGCACCCTCCTCTCCTAAATACCAGTTTCCCCCCTCTACTAAATTCCAGCCCCCCCTCCCCACTCCCCCATATACTAAATCCCAGTACCTCCCTCTAGACCACAAGCAGACTCCACTCACATTGATGCTGCCGGTATGCGACTCCGGAGTCCGGCCTCTGGTATACCCCATATGGCGCCATCCGCACCCTGTGCCAAGTCTGATCCTCTTGCTACTTCTTGAAATCCTGTGAAGGTGGAGCACGTCGATGTCACGTCGGAATGTGACGTGGCGTTGCATGCCTCCATGCACCTCCAGGTACTCCACTGTCCAGTCGCAGCCAATGCAACACTGACCAACACACACACACTCACTCACTGACAGACACACAGAGACTCGCTGACAGACACACAGAGACAGAGTCACTCACTGACAGACACAGACACTCACTGACACACACACATTTACACACATCATTTTCTTTATTGCTCCCTACCTTTGGAAGCCGATGTGGGGCCTCTCCCTGGGGTCCAGTAGGGATCTTTTATCTGCTCCTCACTGCTCCCTCGCGCGGTTTAGTGGTGCCGGAATATGGCTTCACTACAGACGGCGAGCGCAAGGGAGCAGTGAGGAGCAGAAACACTGAGCTCCCTCGCTGGCCATCCTCCCTGGCCAGGTAAGTTTTAGCAGAGTAGGCACCTGCAACGTGGGGTAAGCAGGTGACTACTCTTCTATAACACTAAGCATGTACTCACAGCTCGACGGGCTGTAAAAATGTCAATTGTGGGCCGCATGCGGCCCGTGGCCCGCAGGTTTGACATGCTTGCTCTACAATAATACATAACACATCCCCTGCCCACATACACTCCACTCCTTGTGAGCGAACTCATGGGTGGGCCTTGAAGGCATAAGGCTTATGGGTGGGCCTTGTAGGCATAAGGCTTATGGGCAGGCCTTGTAGGCATACTCCTGGTCAGACCCTGTGGCCCCAGACCGTGATCTGTGTAAGGGGCCCCAAAAAATGGAGCTGCTTCCTGTTCAGTGATTTTTGTGAGCACTGCCTCCAGAGAGCCTGTTTTAACACCAGACCAGTGAAGCCAGTCTGCAGTCTGAGCCCATCATCTTCCTATTGTCCTCATCTAGTGGTAAGTAGGCAATGCAGTATATTATTAGAGACACTAATCTCTAATTTACCTCACATATTAAGGTAGTGGTTCTAGTGTCTATAGCCTGTCCCTGCAGGCTTTTTAGAATAAAGACATTGTGTGCAGTACTGGTGTTGGCTCATATGGGTGGGGCATTGTGATGTCACATAGTGATCTACTCGCTGCAAAATCTCATGGTCACTACTCTATCCTAATTCTCCTTGACCTGTCTGCGGCTTTTGACACTGTTGATCATCAACAGCTTCTTCTCATGCTACGCAATATAGGTCTACAAGATATTGCTCTCTCCTGGTGCTCCTCCTACCTCTCCCAACGCTCTTTCAGTGTTTCTTTCTCTGGCTCTGCTTCTTCTCCCCAACTCCTCTCTGTTGGTGTGCCCCAAGGTTCAGTCCTTGGTCCCCTACTGTTCTCCATCTATACTGCCTCCCTTGGTAAACTCATTAGCTCCTTTGGCTTCCAATATAATTTCTATGCAGATGACACGCAAATCTACCTGTCCTCTCCTGATCTCTCCCCGTCCCTCTTGACTAGTGTCTCTGACTGCCTCTCTGCTGTTACTAACTGGATGGCTGCCCACTTCCTTAAACTAAACTTGACCAAAACTGAAATTCTGGTCTTTCCTCCCTCAAGTGTTGTTCCTCCTGTGTCTGTCTGCCTCCAAGTCAACGGTGCTACCATCAGCTCCACCACACAGGCTCGCTGCCTAAGTGTTCTCTTTGACTCCGACCTCTCCTTCAAGCCTCATGTTCAATCTATCGCTAAATCCTGTCATTTCCATCTCAAAAACATTGTGCGCATCCGCCCCTACTTAACGCCAGATGTGACTAAGATGTTGGTCCATTCTCGCCTTGACTACTGTAATCCGCTTCTCAGTGGTCTTACATGCTCCCAACTTGCACCATTACAGTCCATAATGAATGTGGCGGCGAGGCTCATCTTCCTGTCCGCCCGCACCTCCCATGCCTCTCCCTTCTGTCAGTCCCTACATTGGCTTCCTATAAAATATAGAGCTCAATTTAAAATTCTGGTTCTTGCTTTCAAATCTCTACATAATGCTGCTCCCACCTATCTATCCTCCCTTATACACAAGTATGTCCCATCTAGGCCCTTACGATCTGCTGAAGACTTACGCCTATCTTCTGTCCGTACTCCCACCTCTGATGCTCGCCTTCAAGATTTCTCGAGGGCTGCACCGTTCCTGTGGAACTCGCTTCCCTCCTCCGTTAGATGCTCACCCAGTCTCCACTCCTTCAAAAAATCGTTAAAAACCCACTTCATAAAAGCGTATCAATTAAACTGTTAATAGCTCCTGACTGATTCCTCTTCTGCAACTGTCACTAGTCTAATACTATCCTTACCTTTTTGTGTCATTTTACCCCACTCCCTCTAGCATGTAAGCTCATTGAGCAGGGCCCTCAACCCCTCTGTTCCTGTGTGTCCAACTTGTCTGGTTACAACTACATGTCTGTTCGTCCACCCATTGTAAAGCGCTGCAGAATTTGACGGCGCTCTATAAATATCATAATAATAATAATAATAATAATAATAGTGGGCAGAGCATATGGGGGGCAGCAAATTTTTGTTAGCCTAGGCTGGCAAAAATCTTTGCACCTGCCCTGGAGACACGTTCTTACTTTTTTTGCAGCAACAGTCACTTGAGCTTCATAAATATCTAGATTTTTTGACATAAACTCCAGCGCAGACCTGCGGTCAGACAAAACTGTAGCATTGGGGTTCAATATAGCATGATGTTCATACACAGCTGCCATATAATATTCCAAGGTATGGACTTCCCGTGATGTAAAGTTCCAGCAGAAAAGGTAAACAGCAAGATAATAAGCTGTAGGCAACATCTCAAATGCTTTCCCTAAAATAAAATAAACCACAAACGTTAACTGTCTGAAACAAACAAACAAAAATACAGAAAAAGAGAAGGCATGGATGTAATAAAAATATTAAAGCGAAACCATCACTTTTCAGGATTTTTACTATTATGTTCACTTGTCCCCCTTATTTCGCAAATATGTGTTTATGAGCAATAAAAAAAGCCAATTAAATGTAGAAATCCACGCATCTTTATTTCTACTGGGGGCTACGATCTTGGCTCCCAGTAATTCATTGCTATATGTTCTATCTTGCCTCTGGTAGTCAGCATAGTCACAGTATAGAGAGAAGAGGAAAAATTAAACAGTGTTCCTGGTTTTCCAGTGATATATTCAAAAGTGTAATATATAGATAAGTGACACTTCCCCTTTAATTGAAAGCAGCATTTTTTTTTCAAATGTGAGTTTCTCATTTCAAAAGTGTCAGAATATGTGTATTGCTTATATCATTGAATGCTAACAATCAATGGCTAAATAGTTGCCTAAATTTTGCAATTTAATTTTCAATTCACTAAAATGTGTGGTTTAGTGAATAAACCCCTATATTTTTAGAATTACACATGTACAGCTGTCTATGTATCATCTCAACTTTATGTCAGGGTGCAGTAGGAGTCAGCTGTCTAGGCGTAATATCCAGGGAAATTGGGGACCGTCATTATGTACCCAACATTAAGTCTGCTGGCTGTATTTGTAAGGGGCAGGTTTGTTTACACAGAGTTCTGTTACAGCTTCATAGCAACAATGGTCACATAACTGCAAACATGGTAAAAGGGGGCTAGTTAAATACATATTGAGAAGGACAGTCATGGAAAAATATGTATAATGAAGCCTGTCTGTGGTCTGTGTGTGATGGGAGTAGATGTCAGTGTGTGATGGGTGTTTACACTCTATAAAACATATAATCACTTCTCATTTAAAAAATTTACAAAATGCTAGAACGTGCACTAAAATATGTTTTATTTAATGTGAAGTCACTACTTATGAGATACATGCAGGGAAATCACAAAATTACTCTATATTGCAGAGAACCACATCAATTGAATTGTACATAAAAGTAGCATTTTAAGACATTTTTCCAGTCATTGAAAAAGTACAAGGGTGGAAGAGATCCACTCAATGGAATCCTTAACTGCAGACCTCCAAGGTAGACAGGAGCAATGTGCACTGACCTGGTATCCCTGGGCAACATACCTAGCTAACAGATCAGCAAACCCAAGCATGGCCCCCCAGAGGCTCGCAGTAAGCTGACTCATACAGAGCTAAGCTACCTAGCTACCCCTACTCCCTATGTCTCCTACCTCCCGCCCCCTTCCCAAGACTGTACACCGGACCGAACCCCAACGACTGACGCTGACGAGCCCGCAATAGGGGCATATTAATATGCACACTCATTGTAAGCACAGGAGCAGAATACACAGGGAACTGAGACCAAGTCTAGTGTTGAAACCGGCATGAAAACATACCGCCCAGCCATCTAGACTGGTACCCAGAGTACCCTCCCATATGCCGAGCTATACCGATAACCATACAAATAGGTACACTGACAATTGCCTACCCACAGTAGAAGGAAACTTTATTTAAAACACCACACTTGGCTCTCACCGAGGTGACCAGATGGCCCTGAATGTAAATATTTGCTGTGTAGACATAGGAGATGTTAAGGCACTAAAGGTTTTTTGTTTTTTTTTCTTCACCACTGAAGCTTTATCTCATGCTCAACAATATATTTTTGTCAAGCGATAAACTGTTCTTAGACACTGTTGTTTTCAAACGTGAAATGGAAAATAAAGATTGTCAAAAAAAAAAAAAAAGAAAAAGTAATTTGGTCGCCAATTTCAGTTATTTAGAGGAACAGGTCTAAATGTATGTGACCTGAAAAACCTACCACAGAAGAAAAAAAAGAGCATATTGAGTAATTTCTGTTATTAAATGGTTGTCTTATATTTTGTAATCACGGGGCAATTAAAAACACATTCACCTTACTGCTGTAAAATGTCAAAATGCCCCTTAAAAAAGACAGTTATTTATACAAAGTTCAACTTTGCTACTTAAAAAAAAACAACAACAAAAACCCCAAAACAAACAAACTGAAAAGTGGTGTTAATGCATCTATTACACAAGGGACTTTTCAGTCTTCAGAACAAATCAGTCTGGCTATTACCTTATCGTTCCAAATGCACGTCACAAAAATATATCTGTGAAACATATTGTTATAAGTGAAATATGGAGGATACGAATTGCAGGAAGCAACTGCAAAAGCTAACCCAGTCTCACAAGATGCTAGTCCATGGGGTTTATTCACTAAGCCGAGACTTATGGAGAATGTAGCCAAAGTGGATAAATTCTGTATCTCAGATATTACAAAAGTATACCACCACCACAACAGGATTATTTTCATAAAGGTAAGCCATTATACATAAGCTGTGATCAGCACACAGGTTTTATCTATGGATGTGGCCATTTTGGGATGGAATCCAATACTTTAAACTCTTCTTCAGAAATACTGAGAAAAAAGAAAGTTGCTAAGAACATGCAATGTTAATGGTTGAGTGAGTAAACTAGCTTCTAGAATTCGGTTGTGAAAAAAATGCACTACATGAAGAGTGCAGTGGGCCATTCACATACCGTCCAACATTTCAAATGGATAATGAGGTACGCTTTCATTTTGGGGGTGTGACCAGGGACAGGGCTATTTAGGAGAGGCAGTCCCTTTTTTCAGTCCAAATCTAAATATCCGTCTTCTCTATCCTAATGTCCCTCTTTTCTAGGCATTCCATACTTTTGGTGTGTCTGAGCGTATAACAGAGCTCCACAGCAATAATTCTCACAGTAATGTATCTTTAACCCCTTAAGGACCGAGGACGGTTCAGGACCGTCATCGGCATTTTCCCATTGCCGACCGCTGACGGTCCTGAACCGTCCTAACGGTCTGAGTTACTTACCTGATCACCGTCGTTCCCCCGGCGGCGATCAGCATTGCTCCCGGTGTGGGGAGACTGCCTGCAGCCCAGACAGTCTCCCCACACTGAATTAGGACCCCTGTGGCCATGTGATCGCTCAACACAGCGATCACATGGTCACAATAGGTGTCCATGTGTCTGCCTGCAGGGGGACTGTCTGTGCTGACAGGCAGTCTCCCTGCTAGTGTAAAATCAAAAAATAAAAAATAAAGTTAATGTTAATAAAAAAAATAAAATAATTATATATGTGTATATATGATATATAGACATATATTATATCTATATAATATATGTCTATATATCATATATATAATGCCATACTAAGTGTATTTTTATATTAATATGTACTTATATTAATATAAAAATACACTTATAATTAAATTACACACGTATATATATAATATATATAATAACTATATATATTATATGTATTATTATAAAATATAAATAAGTAATTTAAATTAAATTAAATTTTTTTAAATAATAAAAAAATTGAAAAAACATTATATCTATATGAAATTTTATTCTAACTGTATTTTAAAATTAATATATATATATTTATATCAAAATACACTTAGAATGAATTTGTATATATATCTATGTATATATAAATAAATAAAAATAATACAAAATATACATATGTCCATATACAAAATTACATAAATAATTATATAAATATACACGTAGACTTCAAATATATAAATATGCATATATATTTAAATTCTACGTGCGTATTTATGTAATATTTTTACATAATTAAGTAATTTTATTGATTGCAATTTGAGGGACCTGCCTGCCAACCCAGGCCGAAAGTCCAGAGAATTTAATTTGCTAGCACTGTATTTTACCCTGTAACGTTCTACGACACCCTAAAACCTGTACATGGGGGGTACTGTTTTACTCGGGAGACTTCGCTGAACACAAATATTAGTGATTCAAAACAGTAAAACATATCACAGCGATGATATTGTCAGTGAAAGTGACTTTTTTTGCATTTTTCACACACAAACAGCACTTTTACTGATGATATAATTGTTGTGATACGTTTTCCAGTTTTTAAACACTAATATTTGTGTTCAGCGATGTCTCCCGAGTAAAACAGTACCCCCCATGTACAGGTTTTATAGTATTTTTGAAAGTTACAAGGTCAAATATATGGGTCAAATATTTTTACATTGAAAATGGCCAGGTTGGTTACGTTGCCTTTGAGAGCGTATGGTAGCCTAGGAATGAGAATTGCCCCCATGATTGCATACCATTTGCAAAAGAAGACAACCCAAGGTATTCCAAATGGGGTATGTCCACTCTTTTTTAGTAACCACTTGGTCACAAACACTGGCCAAAATTAGCGTTCAATTTAGTTTTTTTACTTTTTTCACACACAAACAAATCTGAATGCTTACTTTGGCCAGTGTTTTCGACTAAGTGGCTACTAAAAAAGACTGGACATACCCCATATTGAATACCCTGGGTTGTCTACTTTAAAAAAAATATGTACTTGTGGGGTGTTATTCAGAGATTTATGACAGATAATAGTGTTACAATGTCACTATTGATAAGTTTTAAAAATGTATGTTTTGAAACTGCAATATCCTACTTGTACCTATAGCCCTATAACATGCAAAAAAAAGCAAAAAAGCATGTAAACACTGGGTATTTTTAAACTCAGGACAATTTTGAATCTATTTAGCAGTTTTTTTCATTCGCTTTTGTAGATGAGTAAAAGATTTTTCAGGTAAAAGTCAAAAAACATGTATTTTGTTTCAATTTTTCATCATATTTTTTTATTTTTTTAAAATTAAAATCCAAGAGATTATATAAATAATGGTATGTAAAGAAAGCCCCTTTTGTCCTGAAAAAAAAAAAATATATATACTTTGTATGGGAACAGTAAATGAGAGAGCAGAAATTTACAGCCAAAGACAAACACCACAAAAGTGTAAAAATATGCCTGGTCGCAAATGTACAACATCGCAAAAACAGTCCAGTCCTTAAGGGGTTAAACCACAATAAATGTGTTTAGAAATCAGTTTGTGTAAATAAGATACATTGTTCTTGTTCTAAATTACATTTTAGTTGCATAAATTGTTATTAGTAAGTCACAAAAAAATTCTCAGTACAGCCTCGCCCCTCAACACCCTTCACCCCCCACTCACTCCCCTAAAATGAAAGTATGTATATGGGTACATAATAACTCAAAGCAGGGGTAAGGCGTGTCTGACACATAAACTATATTGTCACACATGTGGCAATTAGTACGTGTTAGGCCTGGCTAGTAATGTACGAACTGAAATCCTGACCAGCACTGCACCACATCAAAAGTTTTTTTTTAGTTTTTTTTAAAAATAATTGCTCCTCTTTAAGTATATAAATAGACATTTCCTTTGCAGGAAAATTACAGGAATTATAAACACACTTTTAGTCTTAAGGGTTTTTTAAAAAAAAACGAGAGAGAATATCTCTGGGGACAGCGTCTATGACGTAGGATTGAAGCATCTCTCCAACACAAGGGCCTCTTCAAGTTTCATCAAACAAGACATTTCGTGAAACTTCTTTTCATGCGCAAAACCTTTTTGAGCGCACGTTGCAGCACTCTTACTCATGACAGACAATCTCACAAGGACGCTAATTGCTACTCCATTTGTAGATGAACAAAGCAGGTCAACGCACGCAGCTCTGCACTATTTCAGTGTGGGATGAGTATTGTCATTAAGATGTATAAATTGAGGCTGTAAAGCAGACTGTCACTCTCTTTAGTGGATGACAAGAACGCGGTGGTGGACAGAGCAGCAAACACATTGTATTTGAGGTAGGAAACGGTTTCTCATTGGAAATATATGAAGCATTCTCTAGCATTGAAGGTACGGGTACAGAGATGATTTATTTACATGCATCTGTTCTGCTTTTTGTTAGGATGAAGCATACACAGTTTGCAATAGCTACAATAATATCCTTACTTATTGCATGTGTTGCGGCTCAGTCTTCTAGGGAAGCAGAATGGAAATCCCTGGGGAACCCCTACAACAGAGATCTGGTAAATCTCAAATATTTGGATGCTTAATTTTTGGCATCTGCGTGCTCTGTTATGTGTCCAGATTGTGCTCAGCATGTTCAAACTAGTGTAAAAAGTAAATGAGCCGTTTTGTGGCTAATTTGATGACAGAGAAATGGAAAGCTTATAAAGATCGAACCCGATAAGAAATACAAATGTAAGCATTATTTATCTTTGTTTTTTTAGTGTATCTTGACTTTTCAGAAAAAGTCTTTTAAAAAATAATTTTTAATTTTCAAATAAATACCTCTGAAAATAAGTAATTTTTAGTTATTAAGAGTTATTTAGTTTATACTTTTTATAGCACCCGACGACTACTTTCCACTTTGTAAATGAATCCGGGAAAGATGCATGTGCATACAGATTTCGAAATATCTGAAAATGTCAAACATTTACACGGTTATTCAAAGTGAGTTTTGTTAAAAATTCTAAGTGAATTTGAAATTTAAGGCCAAAGTAACTGGACTTTTGAACAGCTGATATCAATAATTTTTCCAGTTTGGTTATTTTGGTCTATTACAATTCCCAACAATTCTCACTAAAGTGAATACCCTGTTAGTGTTTGTTTGATTTCTTTTTTTTGTAATAACACTGTAATGTGTGTTACATTTTACATATTTGTTCATGTTGTGCATCACCTGAGTTGGGAAGCTCTCCTGTAGCATAGAAGCTCACAGAAATCATGTCTCCCAGAGTTCCTCGATTCATGGGCAAATGAACACAGAAAGGCAATGTGTTTAAGACTTCACCCTGTACCCCTAGCAACAGACACTTGTTTTTTTTTTTTTTGTTTTTTTTTAAAGCAAGCATGGGTTATGATTTAAAGTGATCATTGGCCAGAAACCAGTCATGCTCATTTGCATGTCAAAGTGGGAATTCTCTCAACTTGAGATATGCAGGTGATGCACAACAGTATTTTTTCTGTCTGCACATTGAGTTTTTTCATGTCTGGTCTCTATAAAAATAATAATAATATATGTAGAAAAGGTAAATATTCACCACACACTTTTTCTGCTGACGATTCAATATATATCTAATATGCCCACAAAAAAAGAAAGAAAATGATAAAATAATATGCCCAGAAAAAACAAAAAGAAAAAAAATTCATCCTTGACTACAAGGTATCAATTAGACTTATCCTGGCATTAATAACTATCATAGTGTTGTATTTACTGCTTTTCCAAAATAGTATGCAGGCTTTTTTAAAAAAAAAAAAAACATCTGCTGAATTTTATGAAGTATGTAAATAACATATATATATATATCCTGTCTGAAAATTCTTTATTGTTAATAATTAAAGAATCAATTCCTCTAGCTAAAGTTAAACTTTATTTTTCAAAATTTCAATGGATGACCTCTTGTTTTGTGTACAGTCATTAACAGTCATGTTAATGAACAAATCCCAAGATATATATTGTATATATTTGTATATTAGCTCAGGAATATGTTGTTTTTTTTTTTTAAACGAAAATAAATGCAGCTCTAGCCTTTGTTATACAAGAAGGGGCAAGCCCAGAGTTTCAGCTTTATTCACTAAAATGAGAATTGTCAGAAATTAAAGAGACACTGTTCCCATCCCCCTTAATCCTGCAAGTGTAATTATTGCAGTTTCTATAAACTGCAAAAATTACCTTGCAGGGTAAAGTCCTCCTCTAGTGGCAGTCTACCAGAGAGGGATTTCCGGGTTCTTAGATGACTTTTGGTCGTCTAAACAACGCTGGAAGTCCTCACGTTATGCATGAGGATCTCCAGGGTCGCCGAAATCCCAATAGGAAAGCATTGAATAATGCTTTCCTATGGCGAGGTCTAATGCGCTCACACGCGTGCGGCCGTTGCCCTGCATTAGGTCTCATCCGCCAGCGGATAATGGCGGGGAGGAGCGTGGGCAGAGCCTGACTCAGTACCAAGGGACATCGGCACTGGATTCAGGTAAGTATCTGAAGGGGTTTTAACCCCTTAAGCAATGCGGGTTGGGGGGAGAGGGGGTGAAGGGGGGCGACAGTATTCTACAGTGCAAGGAAAATGGGTTTGTTTTACTGGCACTAGTGAATCCCTTTAAAAGTTAAGTTCAAAGGGACACTAAAGTTAGCCAGACCACTTTATCTCAATGAAGTGGTTTGGTTATAGTGGTTCTGTCATTTTAACCCTGCAATTTAAAACAGTGCAGGTTTGCAAAAACTGCAAGTTTACATTGCAAGGTTAACACACATCATGTGGCTGTCTTTCTGATTGCCACTAAAGTCACTTACTATTCCAGAACTGAGTGACACGTGGTCGTGGAATCAAATAGCTGATTATAGCAGTATTTGATTGGAGGACTACAGCATTTGGCTGCACATCAATAGTTCCAATCCAGTACTTCTCTATGAGATGCCCTGGATGAAGCAGATTGCAAAGCATGCAGTTGCAACAGATGAGGTATGCAAAAAAAATAAAAAATACTGTGCATTACAGAAATTTTAAAATTAAAGGAACACTGTAGGATCAGGAACACAAATATGTATTTCTGACTCTATAGTCAGTGGTGTATCCTGGTTTTGTGCTGCCCTAGGCAGGACAAAACTCAGGTGCCCCCCTCCCCTTGCCCCCCCTCCACCCAACCCTTCCCTCTGCCCCGCCTTCTAAATACACACACACACACACACACATTCACTGACAGATACGCATACAATAGCTAACACACACTCATTCACTAACAGACACACACACACTCACTAACAGACAAACACTAACAGACACACACACTCACACTCACTAACAGACACACACACTCACGCACACTAACAGGCAAACACACTCACACTCACTAACATACACACTCACTAACAGGCACACACACACACACACACTCACTAACAGACAAACACACACTCACTCACTAACAGACAAACACACACACACACACTAACAGACACACACACTCACTCACATTAACACACTCACTTTTTTTTATTTAACCCCCCCCAGCCTCCTTAGCTTTGGGAATGCTGGGGGGGCAGGGGGGGGTTTTCCTCTCTACCTGGGGGACCAGTGGCTGATGGGCAGGCTGCTGGGCGGGCAGGCGGCGCTGGCGAGGGAGCACTTTCCCCTGAGCACTCTGCTCAGCTCCCTCACGCGCCACCCGCAGAGTGAGGCTGGGAGCCGGGATATGACGTCATGTTCCGGCTCCCAGTCTCACTCTGCGGCGTGCGAGGGAACTGAGCAGAGAGCTCAGGGGAAAGTGCTCCCTCGCCGCCCGCCCGCCCAGCAGCCTGCCTTGTCAGTTAGCCGCAAGGCTAACAAGGCATTAGACCTGGGCATTTGGGGGCGGCTTTTTTTGCTGCCCCCCTGGAAAATGCCGCCCAAGGCAAAGGCTTTGTTTGCCTCGCGGCTAAAACATCCCTGCCTATAGTGTTAAAAACACTATCTAGCCCCTAAATATAATAAAATTTTACTTTTATACCAATCTACTGCTGGCTCTACCCCTGATCTACCTCCTTGGCTGACATAATCAGACGTAATGATCTCAGCCAATCACAATGCTTTACCATTGGAATGCAATGGGTTGGTTGAGATTGTCAATTCTGATGATCTCAGCCAAGGAATCAGGCCAGGGGGCCAAGCTAAATACCGCCCTGGCCAATCAGCATCTCCTCATAGAGATGCATTGAATCAATGCATCTCTATGATAAAAGTTCAGTGTCTCCATGCAGAGGGTGGAGACACTGAATGTCAGGAAGCACCTCTAGTAGCCATCTGAGGAGTGGCCAGTGGAGGTATCCGTTGGCAGTAATGTAAGCACAGCCTTTTCTCTGAAAAGACACAGTTTACTGCAAAAAGCCTAAAGGAATGATTATACTCACCAGAACAAATACAATAAGCTGTAGCTGTTCTGGTGTCTATAGTGCCCCTTTAAACTTATTCAGGAAGTGTAGAGAGGCACAGCCAGAGGAGTTGTGGCTACAACTGCATAAACAAAGTGATTTAACTCCTAAATAGAAAATAGTTGAGAGGCATGACCTATACAACAAAACCAACCACTTCAGCTAAGGTTAAGCTAACATTGTTTTAGTGCATAGTGTCATTCTTTTAAGTGAAATCTATGGTATCTATGAAAGCAGACTATAACATGGTTGGCAATAATCTTTATAAATATTCCACCATTTATTGATTTTATATATCTCCTTTTAGTTTTTCAAATTCTTGAAATCTTATATCACTGGAAGAGGGGGAAGTCACATGGTGAGCCCCGGAACAAAGGACAAGCTTGTGAATGATCTGAAAACAAACATGGACTCAAAGTATAGCAACCTTGAGGAAATTATGGACAACAATGAGATAGAAGATATATAATCACTGACGTTACGTTTTAACAACTGTAATGTAAGGAAGTGGTGTACGACATGCCATAACAAAAACACTCATAAAAATCTAAACAATTTATGCTAACATGTTTATTTGATTTCTAGCCTTTAGCTATTGCATTCCTTGAAAGTATGTTTTATTCTGAATTGATAATAAAAGTTGTTTATACACATATCTGCTGGATTTTTTTATATTGTTTAATGTCAAAATATTCTAAAATAATTATAATAAATTATTTACATTGCTATTTCTGCATCATACTTACATAATTCAATGCATAATATGGTTGGCTTTAAACGTGAAAGTTGAAGGGACACGGAAGGCTGGAGATGTTCCCTTTTCAATGCATTAAAGATTTGCAAAAATAAAACAAAAAAGAACAAAATACTTGCAGAATTTTTAAAGGACTTCTGTGACTCACTTTAACATCAGCATGGAGGTAGGCACCGTAACTGCTTCATCTCCTTGAAGTGGCTCTAATGACAAGGTTCAGAGATTAACAGGGGTATGAAAACTTGGAAAGGTAATCTGTTGTCCCTGTATTTGGTGTGCTGTTGGCATATTCTTTGTCCCAAACCCCCTTAGCTTACCAGGTGAAATATCCTGGATACCTAAGGCGACCAACCCACTAGCCTACAGACCTTCCGTTATATACAACTCAGAACATATTACCGGACACTTCCAGACAAGGAAAAGTTACACAGGGACTTGACATGGTTCGAAACGCTCTGCGATCACAAGACTACTCTAGGTAAAGCGATATCCCTGCTATACCAACACGTACTCGTGGGGCACCTCACTAACAACGACCAATTCCGCAGACGCTGGGAACGCATGCTAAATACATCTTTCACCACATCCCAATGGGAAAAGATCCTCATATTACACCATAAATGCTCATCGAGCTCCCAATATCAAGAAACCAACTATAAACTTCTCTCATTCTGGTACAGAACGCCCGACAGTCTACACAGGATCTTCCCGAATGTACCTGACATATGCTGGAGATGCGGAGATGAACGTGGTTCGCCACTGCACATATGGTGGGAATGCTCACTCATTAAGCCATTCTGGGTCGAAGTCCTACAGAAAATAAGGGATATCACAGGGACGGAAGGAAACCTCAACGCAGAGGCAGTCCTCCTACACTCAACACCGGATCCCATAGGCACATACAGGAAAAACATTCGTAGACACCTAATCAACGCAGCCAAGGCACTAATTCCATTATACTGGAAACAAACGAATACCCCGACGATAAGACAATGGTTGGAACGGGTGGAAGAAATATATAGAGCGGAATTAATACAGGCTACACTACGAGGACTAGAAGACAAGCATGTGGAGAGGTGGCGCCCGTGGCTATTCTACATAGCGGACCGAAACACAGATAGGAACGGCCATTTGCAACCCCAAGGAGCCCCAGGACCCCCCACAGACGGGGACTGATGCCTGGTCCGATACATACTACGCCGTGGTCACGGATGACAGGACCACCTTTCCCTTCATACTCCCCTATCCCCCCTCCCACACCCCCCGCCCAACCACCCCCCACCCAGCTCTCCCCTCCTCTTCCCCCTCTCCTTTTCTCTTACTTCTTACTCAATTAACACTCATCTTCTCTTTAAAACTCCCCAACAATAGCTTCATTATAAATTACATGATACACGTAGCCCGCCTTAATCCGAGATTGCCCACAATTGTGTCACTCACTCACATTTGCACGTCAAAATGGACGCAAACACCTTTATCACGCAACTACACGACACGAATAAGACACGTCCCTGAACGACATCTGACCTATGACGACGGACCAATAGACCTTACTACCCCAAAGAGAATAAGGCTCAAGGGTGATAAGGAAATACTAGAGGATCACATAAAACAGACGCAAGGCACAAACTTATGAATATCCCTCTACTCAAGCCGCAATCCGATCACTCATATGTATGTCTTAACGTGTTAAACGTGACCAAATGCCATATAGAAATACTATGTAACATTGTTTGAGTGTTGACTACACACTTAATGTTGGGACCTGCAAGTCCGTTATATGTTATTTACTTGTTCAATCAATTGATACCTGCTAATGTACAGGGATCAGGGCATACCCTGAAATGCTTATGTTTGAATAAAGCCTTTTTGAACAGAAATATCCTGGATACCTAATGGTCCAGTGGGTTATCATATTCCTTGACTGTCTTGTGTATGAGTGTTTGTAATAGTTCCCATGCAGTCCGGCACTTGGTGAGTCAAGGATTCCCAGCCCGTGCTCTGACACATCCGTGAGTGCCAGGACCACGAGGGAGTGATTACTATGGTCTGCACCCACTGGAAGAACAAACCACATGCTCCATGCCAAGACTGGACTCCCCCAGGTTCCCCTGCAGCAGTTCTGCCGCTTGCCCATGACCAGAGCCCGCCATTTAGTGCTAAAACCTGCTCAAAAATGGAGGACTGCACTAGAGGACTCCAGCTTCCATAACCAATTCAATTAGATGAAATAGGTATGCTGCCAGCTACAGTGTCCATTTAACATTTTCAGCCAATCAGTTCTTTCTCATACAAATGTATTGGAGCAGCACCAAGCGCTCATAAGTGTGACATCTCATGCACGTGCACAGCATTCATCTGACTTTACATGTGTGTGTGCTACATGACAGTTTTTTTTTATTTTGTTAAGCGCTAAAGCTGTAGTGTTTGGAGATGACACTGACTTTAATGCAAGTGCTGCTGACTGCTGCTGTGGTATTTATGGACTCTTTTAGACATTTGTCTGTTTAGCCTTAGGTTAGCCCAAATATAACATCACAAATGCTTTATTCAATAAAGAATGCATTGAGGTGAACTGTAAACCAGATTTCAAAATGAAGGCTATATCGCCAAGCTGTTACTGCTCTGCTCCGGTCCTCCCACCCTACCACCTGTTCCCTCGATCCTATTCCCTCATATCTCTTCCGCACTCTGTCTTTCTCAGTAAAATTTTCAATCTCTCCCTTTCCTCCAGCACATTTCCCTCACCCTTCAAGCATGCAACCATAATGCCGATTCTGAAAAAGCCCAACCTTGACCCCAACTCCCCATCACACTATAGCCCTATATTACTACTGCCATTTGCCTCCAAGATCCTTGAGAGAGTTGTGTATGCGAGATTCAGTCTGGACCCGCTTCAGTCTGGATTCCACGCTCATCACTCTGTTGAAACAGCTGTGACCAAAGTATCCAACAATTTAATCGCTGCTAAATCTCACAGCCATTACTCTATTCTAATTCTCCTTGATCTTTCTGCTGCCTTTGACACTGTTGATCATCAACAGCTTCTTCTCATTCTCTGTTATCTCGGTCTACAGGATACTGCTCTCTCCTGGTGCTCCTCCTCCCTCTCCCAGAGCTTTTTCAGTGTTTCTTTCTCTGGCTCTGCCTCTTCTCCCCAACCCCTCTCTGTTGGCGTTCCCCAAGGTTCTGTCCTTGGTCCCCTATTGTTCTCAGTCTATACTGCCTCCCTTGGTAAACTCATCAGCTCCTTTGGCTTCCATTATCATTTATATGCAGATGACACACAAATTTACCGGTCCTCTCCTGATCTCTCCCTGCCCATCTTGACTCGTGTTTCTGACTGCCTCTCTGCGATTTCCAACTGGATGGCTACTCACTTTCTTAAACTCAACCTGTTCAAAACAGAACTTCTAGTCTTTCCTCCCTCAAGTGTTGCTACTCCCGTGTCTGTCTCCCTCCAAGTCAACGGCGCCACCATCACCTCTACCTCGCAGGCTCGCTGCCTAGCTGCTCTCTTTGACTCCGACCTCTTCTTCACCACTCACGTCCAGTCGATTGCCAAATCCATCCGACTCCATCTCAAAAACATAGCTTGCATCCGCCCTTATTTAACACCAGACACAGCTAAGGTGCTGGTCCATGCCATTGTTCTTTCTCGCCTTCACTACTGCAATGCCCTTCTCAGTGATCTTACGTGTTCCCAGATTGCACCACTGCAATCTATAATAAATGGCTCATTTTCCTGTCCACCCGCAGCTCCCATGCCTCCGTCCTCTGTCAGTCCCTACATTGGATTCCAGTTAGAAATAGGGATCAGTTTAAGATTCTGGTGCTTGCTTACAAGTCCCTACATAATGTAAAAGAAAAGAAGGAAACCGCGCTTTATGTTAGCAATACATACATACACTTGGTATCCCTTAATTGGTGTAGATAATATATCCTCAAAAAAACACAAAGAGAGAAATACAATAGTGCAATATGCTGTAACAAATTGAAAACGGGAATGGTATGTAAAGCAAAGCTATTTTAAACTCACATTTGGTAGAGCTAATCAGGAGCTCTACCTTAATTCGCACGGACGGTACAATCCCCATCTCAGGATAGGAGGCCCAAACTTTTCAGTACTCCATTAGTATGATGACATACATAGGGTAGAAAAAAGAGAGAGAAACTCCAATGGTGTAGCAACTCTGATTCCAAATGTAGAGAGAATAAAATGAAAGTAATTGTACTCACATTTGCTAGAGCAGACAACTTGCTCTAGTATATAAGGCTTGTAGTGGTATAATCCCCACTGAAGGATATGTAGACTAGGAGGTGATGAGGAAGATAAATTGAAAATAAAAATAAAATAGTATATCACTTTAAAAATATTTAATAGTAACAATTGTAACAATAGTAAAACAAAAGGGCTATAAGAAATATATATTTCTATTGCAATGCAATGGGTTGGTTGAGATTGTCAATTCTGATGATCTCAGCCAAGGAATCAGGCTGAGATTCCCTTTTGTTTTACTATTGTTACAATTGTTACTATTAAATATTTTTAAAGTGATATACTATTTTATTTTTTCTATATACACCCCTATATACTTATTAACCCTTAATAGGGAACACATGGGCTGGGCGGCAGCATTGTAACCTAGCTGTGTGATACAAAAAGTGAATACAAAAAGAAAAGTCCTGCGCTCACTCCCATCACTCCTGGGCGGCAGCAACGACCACAGTACACATCAGCTCCAATACATGTAGTAAAAAAACAAATAAAAAAGATACCTGCGCTCTCTCCTTAATCCCTATGAATATTTAAACAAATGGAGGTCATTTAGTTACTCCAATGGCCACTGGAGGAAATGCCCGCCTGCCAACGTCAAGGCAGACCCCCCTAGACGGGTCCTACTTTGACCCTTCACCTTGCTTCCTTGAGCTGTGCAATTTTGGGCACCTGTTCTAAAGAAGGATATCATGGCACTGGAGAGGGTCCAGAGATGAGCTACAAAATTGATAAAAGGAATGGAGCATTTTAGTTATGAAGAAAGGTTAAAAAAATAAAATCTGTTTAGTTTGGAAAAACGGCGCCTGAGAGGGGATATGATAACTTTATACAAATATATTCGGGGCCAGTACAAATCTTTATCTGGAAATCTATTCATAAACAGGGCTATACATAGGACACGAGGTCACACATTTAGGCTGGAAGAAAGGAGATTTCATCTAAGGCAAAGAAAAGGTTTTTTTACAGTAAGAACAATAAAGATATGGAATTCTCTGCCTGAAGAGGTGGTTTTGTCAGAGTCCATACAGATGTTTAAACTGAAATTGGATAAATACTTACAAAAACATAACATACAGGGATATAATTTCTAATTAGTGGGGTAATAGCTGCTTGATCCAAGGAGACATCTAACTGCTATTTTGGGGTCAAGAAGGAATTTTTTCCTAGTTTGTGGCAAAATTGGAAGGGCTTCAGACCAGGTTTTTTGGCTTCTTTTGGATCAACAGCAACAACATTTGTGAGGAAGGCTGAACTTGATGGACGCAAGTCTCTTTTCAGCTATGTAACTATGTAGCTTCTGGCAAAGATATCTCTAATGAGACAAAAAGGGTTATTTCTATATACACCCCTATATACGTATTAAACCCTTAATAGGGAACACATGGGCCAGAGTAGGACCTGTCTAGGGAGGTCTGCCTTGACATTGGCAGGCGTTTCGCCGCCAGAGTTGTACTTTCTCCCTATTCACAGTGATGCTACAATAATCCCAATCACGATAATCAAAGTCACGGTATAGCTGTTCCCTACAAACATGAGATGAGACTCTATGTTGAGGGTAAGCAGGAATTGATTTATTGGCAGCCACAACTGACCTCATATGCAGGTCCCCATGAAAGGGGTTTACTCTAATATATTCCAGGGGCATTCCCCACTGGACCTAAGAGGGGACTATGACAAAATACACAACTTAATGACATTAACTATGAGGTCCAGGACATACACATTAATAACACCCCAAAATGCATATAATAATAACAGGTACCCCCTCAAGTCCTATATCCCCGGACAGCCTAGATCTGAGCGCCCAACATATCCCGAAAGCACTCAGATCCCACAAAATGCCATCGGGGTATAGTTTAGACCGACCGCACACGAGGCGCCTGCCCAGAATAGTTCCATAAAATTAGGCTGTGCGGTCGGTCTCTTTAGGGGGTACGAAACACCCAAAATATATACGAATGAAACGGTTCATACATGCTCTCAATCTGTGTCCCTTGTTCGGGAGCTTGATACGAACCCAATGAAATATACGGAGAGATGGAAGTCCCCGCGGTGTTCACGTCGTCGAGTGTCTGATTTGAGTTCCATGCACTCGACGACCAAACACCTTGGTATGCGCTCGCGGGTAAAGATGGCTGCCACCACGTGTTCGCACATATGAACGACGGCCACCCAGCCGACTGTTCAGAACGTTAGGTTGATTGCGGTACCTGAGGTGAGAACAAGGGTCAACAGGGTCAATGAGCAGCACACGACTCCCATGGGTGGTCTGGCTGTTTGGCAGTTTGGTCAGTATACGAACCAGATGGGCCTCAGAGGTTCGATGAATCCCATATACCGAACCACCCAGTGTAGCAAGTAAACAGAATAAAAGGGGGAACAATCCAGGGATAGGGGGATCTGTCACATGCACCTTCATTATTAATTTTAAAAATAATGGTTTACTATTTTTAACATCACATATATGCAGAATGTAACCAGTACATCCCCCCCTTCTTGCTGTTACTAGTGACAGACAGTACATGCTTTGCACCTTATACACAGTCACCCATAAACCAGACAGTCATACCCCAGGCTCTGCTATATGATCAGACCTTTGAAAATAGGTTTTGGACTTTGTGACAGCCATGTGCACTTTGGCCAGCATTTATTATTGTTTTGCTACTATTATCAGCTTGGCTGCAGGTTTGTGCCTGCAGTATAACCAAGGTACAGCCTTAGCCTTGCTCTATGATCTGTGTATAATTAATCTGGAAGAGAGGTGGCCATTATGGACAAACATATCTTTATTTTATGCATGAAACAAGGTAGTACTTAGCACGGAACTGTTTAATCTGGCAACATATTCTACAATGCATCTGATCCTATTGTACTGCGCTGCAGAATTTGTTGGCGCTTTATAAATATTGATAATAATAACTGTACATTATCAGAGGGTAACATCATGACACCGCAACTATTTGGAATCATATTCTAATGGAAACACGTGATAATGATCACAAGCAGTTGCAGCTGATTTGATCCGTTTGATAGCAGGATGGAATTCTCATTGCTAACAGATCTACAAGAACACCGACACATGGAACTCCTAGAACTCACCTTTGACACAGTTACTCTCCAGCCATGGACATTGTAGCCACGCCCTGTGACAGCCAGCAGCTCTGTGTCCGATTGGTGGGATCACTTCCATGCTTGGAACCTTAGCGAATAGCTGTTGTGGTGACGTCACGGCGGGCTGCTAAGGAAGTGCACTGTACTGGTGGAGGTTGGCACAGAGTCCCCTCATCCAGCAGGAATGATGGCAACTCTGGAAGAGACTGTCACCGGGGCACAGATTGTTGCAGAAGCTTTAGTAGCACAAGTAAGGCTTCTTATGTGTTGTGCTTCTCTTGTAATGCTCACCTACCTATTATATCACTTGGTGAACCTATATGTCTTAATCCAGCATTTAAACTAATAATAATAATTACCATGGTGGTTAGTTTTGGGCATAGCATCCTTTGTAAGCTATATTTCCTTGGCATGTCTGGCTGAGCGTCATGGGAAACGTAGTCATTAGCAACTTGGAGTGCCAGAACGTGACCATCACTATAAAAGCTGTATCTTAATGTTACATTAGTGATCCCACTGACTCACATAACACTGAATAGCAACTGTCCAGTGCACCAGTACTGCCTTCATAGTGCAATGTAAATCAATATAACACTAGGGAGAATCTACAGGATTAAAAAGAATTCAGTCAATGTAACATTTAAAGGGACACTATAGTCACCAGAACAACTACAGCTTAATGTAGTTGTTCTGGCGTCTATAACCTGTCCCTGCAGGCATTTTAATATAAACACTACCTTTTCAAAGAAAAGGCAATGTTTGCATTGCTGCCTATGAACACCTCTAGTGGCAGGCAGATGGCCACTAGAGGTGCTTCCTGGGTCAGTGCTACACAGTGTAGCTTTGCATGTGTTTGCTGATTGTTCCTAATAGTGATGCATTAAGTTCAATGCGTCTCTATGAGGAGATGCTGATTGGCACTAGCCTTCCATTGGGAAAGCATTGGATTGGCTGAGATTGTCAATTTTGATGAAGGGGGGGCCGGCCATCTAATGTGTTTTTAACATTATAGGATCAGCAATACACGTTTGTACTCCTGACTCTATAGTGTTCCTTTAAATTTGAAATTCACTTTGAATTCTCACTTTAGTAAATAATCCTGCTAATGAGTGTTTTGAAGAATTCATCTTAATACAATTGAAGAATGTGCCACTGAAATTATTTTAAAATAGAATTGTTTGGCAATCTCATTCCTTGTGCATATTTTTGGTCTCTGCAAAAAAAAAAAAAAGGTTGAGACCATCAATCCCGATACAAGTCTCAAACCTTTCACTGGACACAAAACACATGACTTTGTCGTGTAATAAGGCCAGAGGATGAGAACACTTGGGGGTGGAGGAGCAGGAGCTTCTGCAGTCAAGACTTGTCAGTTTCCTGAGCTGTCACAAGCAACTGTCTCAGGCAAGTATATCATTTCTTCTGAAACAGCATTTTACCAAAGCCAATAGGTGGTTGGGGTGAAAGAGCCATGTACTGCACTAGAATAATGCAGGTGCTGTATATACATGGACCTATGTTCTTAACACTATAGTCACCAAAGTAAGCTTAATGTTTAGCTTAATGAAGTTATAGTGTATAGATCATGCCCCTGCAGTCTCACTGCTCAATTCTCTGTCATTTAGAAATTAAAGAACTTCTAAATGTGTTTTGTTAGTTTTTTTTTTTTGTTTTTTTTTAATCTCTGTAAATTGAATGTTAGCTATTAGCAGAGAATGAGAAAAGAAATGTTAAATTAAACAGAATCTGCAATAAAGGAAGTATAAACATTAGATGACTTTACAGGAAATGTTTAGGAAGGCTGTGCAAGTCGCATGCAAGGAAGTGTGACTAGGGCTGCATAGACAGTGATTTAACTCCTAAATGACAGAATTGAGCAGTGAGACTGCAGGGACATGATCTATACACGAAAAATGGCTTCATGAACGGGACTCCATAGGCACCCAGTCCACTTCAGCTCATTATTTCCCAGATCCATACCCTGCAAAGATAATTATTGCAGTTTTTAAGAAACTACAATAATTACTTTTCAGGGTTAACTCCCCTACAAAACAGCCACTAAAGGGACTTTGAAGTTGCTGTCGGGCAAATCTTTGTTGTCTAACTGACGCTAATCGTCCTCACGCTATGCATAGGAACATCTAGCGTCACCCAAACCCCTTAGGAAAACCTTGTATAATGATTTCCTATGGGTAAATCCTAATGTGAGTGCAGCTATTGCCGTGCATGTGCATAAGGTCTCCCCTGCCGATGCCAGCCAAGGAGCGAAGGCGGACCGAGCCAGCGCTGGACTAAGGTAAGGATCAGAAGGGGTGATTAACCCCTTCTGCATAGCGTGTATCTCTAGTAAATTAGTTTGTTTATAGAACAGCCTGGAATTGTGTCATTAACAGGTCCTGTACATTTAATTCCTCATTTCTCAAGAAATCTGAATATTACTTTTAAAATTGTTTATATATTTGTATTATGTTTTTTTTTTCCCTTAGAATGTAAAGTACATGTTTGGTATTGTTGGAATTCCTGTTATAGAAGTGGCTATTGCAGCCCAGGTAGCTGGAATCAAGTATGTGGGGATGAGAAACGAGCAAGCTGTAAGTTTTCCAAAATTTTCTTCAAGAAAGTAGAACGGTCATGTGAGATTTATGCACAAAATAGTGTTTTTTGTTTTTTTATTATTATTATTATTATTATTTTTTTTTTTTAAATTCTCAACTTTTTAAAAACATTATTATTATTTGTTCAATTTTCATTGTATGACTAGCTATCCTGGCGCAGCCAGAGCATACTATTCCATCATGAAAAAAAGCCCATATGCGGAAGCTTTTATATAGCAATTCTCTGCAGATACCCATTCCTGTGGGAAAGCATTGGATTGGCTGAGATCATCAAGTTTGATGATCTCAGCCATGGAGGTGGTGCAAGTCTGAGCCAGCAGTGGCGAGGCTGTCGCAGCGTGGGGGGGAAATGCAAATAAAATCACCTTTTTACTGATCTGACAGAGGGGTCGGGGACCTAAATAGTGGGTTTAACAATATAGTGTCAGGAATACAGGTTTGTGTTCCTGACACTATTGTGTTCCTTTAATCAAAATAGGTCAAATTTTGCATTACAATCATAGATTTTTTTATTTTTATTTTATTTTTTCAACTATTGTTTCACCCTACATGTAAATATTAATCACGACTTGCTGTCTTAGTTATTTTATACTTTGAAAATCCCATTCTGGAGGCACATTTATTTAAATAAAAAATGTAATGAGAATGATCCGCATTATGGCAGAACTGTGAGCTCTGTTTGTGTAATCTATGGCATGTGAATACCCCAGCTTTAAACAGGTGATATTTATGCACCATTCCCCAAATACCATAAGCCAAGCGTAGACCACCTTTGGCACTCCAAATGTTGTGGACCAAATGTCCCCTGATGCTTTGCCATTATTATGGCAGTAAGTGCGTTATGGGAGATGTAGTCTGGAATACCAAAGGTTGCCTACTCCTGCCAAGCTAATATTACTTAATATACTTGGATGGCCTTTTCTCATCACTGTTCAGCAGAAAGGTGTAAATGTACTTTGATATGGCTATTAATGTAGAATGCTAAAACCTCCTTTTGCAGGCCTGTTATGCGGCTTCAGCTGTTGGATACCTGACCGGTCGGTAGGTAAAGCTATTTCTAAATTTAATTCTATGGATCTTGATTTGTATACAGAAGTAAAATAATCTAAAGCCTATCACCAATCACCGTGACTGGGGCTTCTCATTATGTAACGGAGTTATTCTTCTGAATTCATCGTAAACCTGTCTTTTTAGTTTGGCCAATCTCATAGTTTGTAGGGTTAAAATAATTGGGTAGGGCAAAGCACAGACGTGTGCTATCATGAGCTTTGTACGTACGTTATTATTATCCTACTATTTTGCAGATGTGCATTCTGTAACTGCAAAATGCATTTGCTCGGGCTCTCCTTAAGCTAAAAGGGTAATCCAGACATTGAGCCCATGCTCACTGTGCCTAGATGGGTATAGAAACATAGAATGTGACGGCAGATAGGAACCACTTGGCCCATCTAGTCTGCCCAATTTTCTAAATACTTTCATTAGTCCCTGGCCTTATCTTATAGTTAGGATAGCCTAATGCCTATCCCACACATGCTTAAACTCCTTTACTGTGTTAACCTCTACCACTTCAGCTGGAAGGCTATTCCATGCATCCATTACCCTCTCAGTAAAGTAATACTTCCTGATATTATTTTTGAACCTTTGCCCCTCTAATGTGAGACTATGTCCTCTTGTTGTGGTAGTTTTTCTTATTTTAAATAGTGTTTCCTCCTTTACTGTGTTGATTTCCTTTTATGTATTTAAATGTTTCTATCATATCCCCCCATCTCGTCTATCCTCCAAGCTATATGTATCAGCTACACCTCGTCGATGAACAATCTACGGGGTTACAATCTCGTGCAGTGAGATGCTGGCATTTCGATTCTGGACTGCCCTTACGGGTGGGATTAGACTGATCTGCAATGCTATAGGTTCTCTATAAAATGGCACAAGTAAACAAAAATCCTTTTAAGATCTGAATGTGGACTAATCGAAGGGCAAGATATTTTGCCTGTTCTCAGAGTTCTCATATTCTCTGTATTTATAGCAATGTGCCTTAACATTCATATGTGAGTTCTACAATTATGAAATGAGCAAAAGTGTTCCACATATACTCTTTGTTCAGTTGCACATAATTTATAGTGACAATTTGCTGACTGAGGGTGGCATATGCCAAAATTGCACATTCCCCACAGTGGGGGCAGTAAAAGTAGGCAGAAAAATGTATGTTTTCTTTTGCAAATTTTCTAAATGTGCAAAAAAACAGGAATACCATTTAAAGATATTGTCTCCGTTTCTCTCTGGAGACTAGTGCAACTTTCGGTTCTGTTATTGCTAAATTATTTGTATCCATCCTTTATTAATTATGTAATAATCTGCATTTTAAAAAAAAATTATATTATTTTACTTTCAGTCCCGCTGTTTGTCTTTGTGTATCAGGACCAGGTCTCATCAATGCTCTTAGTGGCATGGCTAACGCCAATATGAACTGTTGGTAAGCTTTTCCTTTTCAACTTTATTGAATCTTGCAGAGTTATTGACTACAGTGAGTATTCAAAGTGAATTCAAACTAGATTTAAAATGTGAAAATAGCTGAACTGTGAGAATTCTCTAAGTCATCCATGCTTTCTGTTCAGATACTCTGGCCTTAAAATTAAAATCCACTTTGAATTCTCACTTTATTGAAAAACTCTGTAGAATTTTAAGTACATGACAATTTAAATATAATGTTATATTTGTATATGCATCATATTTTCACTTGTTGAATTATGCCTTGCCAAGAATTGTAAGGAGACTCTTCCTTCTTTTTTTGAAACCTATAATTTTTTGTCCCCTGTTGCCATATTCCCATTTTTATTCGGCTGTTGAGAGCTCCAGGAGACCTATTATTTGTGTGAACTCTCATATGTGAATGAGCACAACCAGTGGCTCATTGAAGATCCTAAATAGTTTTTCTCACAAATAGCCAATTAGATGTCACAGAGCACCTTTTGCCACATTTTGCCTGAAATCCGCAACTAGTTCTTACTTTGTCTTCCTTTTTTTTTTTTTAGTTATCTTGGAATTTAAGTGAGGTTCTGTTGCAGTATATATCAGTTTTTCTTAACAATACTCTTGATTAAAAACTCTGATGTAACAGTGCTGCTTTCAAAACAAGGTTATTATTTCTCAGAAGTGATAGGAACCATACATGTATAGGATATATAGAGTTATTCACTAAAGTGAATTAAAGGCCAGAGTAGCTGAGCATAATGCATAGCTGACTTTAAAAATGTTTGGTTTTTCAGTTCGGCTATTTTGATTTTGAATTCACTGTCAATTCTCCTTTTAATGAATAACTTTGGTACAGTGTGTGTGTATATATATATATATATATATATATATATATATATATATATATATATATATATATATATATATATATATATATATATATATATTACAGTTTTATTACCAGAGCTGGATTTGAAAGTCAGCAGCTGTATACAGACTCCAGTCTACTAGCGGTGCCTACCTTGACTATAAATGTGCTGTTTTTTCCTTTTTTAGATATATTTTTAAATACTTTTTCATTTTGATGTCACCTGTCCCTGTTTCCATTATCTCACTATATCACTGAATCAAATTTCTATTCAAATCGTTGAGAACAATTTAGAATGAAAATTGACCTCACAATTACAAGTGGTATAGAAAAATACTAATTGAGACAAGTTATGTTACTTAGTTGTTGCTGTTTTTTAAAGTTACAAAAATAAATTATGTTTTGGAATACCTCCATTCGAGGGAAGATCAAATGAACAGCATGCCCAGTGTCTCTCTCTGATAATATGCCATCATCATCTCTGAGTGCCAGGGGAAGAAATTTCTGTATTTCATGTTCTTGCCCCTCTGAATTTCTGGGGGTGCGAGAGGTTATACTTTGCTTCAGTAGTTAGGTAGGAGGGGGACTGATGATGGTTTTGGCAGTGCTACCTATAAGCTCTGGCAGCAGTCATTAATGTCGTGGAATAAAGCCTTTATAAAACCCAGATTGTTGCCTGGAATGAGTCAGAATTTGACACCATTTAAATATTATTCTTGTTTATTGCCCCGTGCCAGCAGCCTCTGCAGTCTAGGTAAGCACCTTAAACATATATTTTTTTTATAAAGATATGCTCATGCCTAATGTGTTTTTCAAAACATAATTTTACACTCGCATTGGAACAGTTTCAATACAGTTTATATTATTTATTTGTCATTGCCGATTTTCCTGTTCTTTTTATGTTCCACTTATCCCAGTTGGGCAACATATGCAAAAAAAATATGTATGTAGGATTTTTGGATTGCTTCTGAAAACCAGAATTCCATAAAGCACTTTAAGGTGTTTGATGTTTTTGGCTAGTATTGACTAATATCCTTCAGAAATGCAAGGCTGGCAATCTTAGTAGAGACTAATGCAAAACAATATGATTATAAAAGTTGTCATTGGCTTTTTTATTTTCAGTGGTTACTCTTTTCTTATTTTGTAAATTATATTTTTAATGTTTGCGCGTTCTCTCTCTCGATTGGGAGGAAATGTAGAAAGTCATGTTCTTGTTTCTTTTTCTAGGCCATTAATTGTGTTGGCGGGATCGTCTGACGCCAATCAGGAAACAATGGGAGCCTTTCAAGAATTTCCCCAGGTACATGCTGTTTTCCACATGCAACTTAAAACTCTGTTTTACCACATAGTGACAAATGAATGAAACATAACTTGGCAAAGAATTAGATAAACTAAAGAATCAAGATAGAGCCGCAGTAACAGTTACACTTAAATGTAAGTGGTGCGGACACTGTCAGGAACTAGCTAACCCTAACTTTAAGAAAACTGGTCATAACAGGACCGATGCATACTACTAGGCCTTAGAAAAATTGGGCTTAATGTGGGTACTCCCTGGGCTTTAGACAGGCTAGAATAGTTTAAGCAGAGGTGAAGGCATTTTCAGAAATGTCACAATCTCATAAACAGAGCCAAGTCTAGGATGTCTCAGAACAGGAACTTTTATCAAAGTAAGTATGTGCTATTGGAGACATCTGTGGTGGGCAGAGGAGTTTAAAAATCAAACCCAAGGTGCGAAATGTGATGAAACTGAACTGACGCATCACTCTCTGAGTAGCACCGGGCTCAACACCAATAATTTGAGCTGTGGCAGAGCGTCAAGCATCACTAATGTTGCAGAGATACACAAATGGCATTGTAACGAACCCTGATGTGGTAGCTATGGGTTTGTCTGTTTCCACCTGAACTGCTTGGAGCAAGAGTGATTATAGCTCGCAGTTTGGGTTTCCATTCATTTCCTTCTCCAGAGCAGATGCAGCTTACTCAGCAACTTCTCCCAATGTAGTGAATAGGTACCCAAACATCAGCCGAAACATGATGAAGGGTGTAACAAGACTGATTTATTGGTGCCACACTGGCTTTTATACAATAACCCATGCAAGGGGCAATCCCCCGTGGACCTTGTGGGGGACAGGAACACAAAACGTACAGCCAATAATAATGCAGTGACAAACTGTGACACTCCCAATACAAACAAGTAATTCCCTCCTCTCTACCTGGAGATAATGGAGTTAGAAAAAAAGTAAAAAATTAATTATCTCGAGTCAGACAAAACATTATTTCCCCAAAACTTAGAAAGTACCCTAAAACATACAGGATCCCCATAAAGGTCATATCCCCTGATAGCCCTGATCTGGGTTACCAACATATCCAAAAATCACCAAGATCAGTTCAGGGGTTTTCAAATTGTATGGAAGTTCCATTTGACCGACCGTACATGAGGGTCCTGCCCAGAAACCGTTCCATGAGTTTAGGCTGTGCGGTCGGTCTATTTCGACAAGTCACAAAAAACAAAATAATGCACGAACGCAATCCTCTGGTTCATAGTAGCGATTGTTCCCCTGATTCGTGGGACCCAAACTACTGAACCGCTGTTCGGGAAAAGGAAGCAGGCGTTCGTCTAAATTGACCAGTGTTCGGGAAGTCGAGTGTCCAATTTTTGTTCCAGATACTCGACGACCAAGTCCCGCTTCCTCCTTTTGTGCAAACAAGATGGCCGCTGTATTCGCTCGCATGTGGCATTCGGCTATCCAAACGGCGGCCACACAGGGAGAGAGCTTAATTGGTGATTTCCTTTGGTGAGAATGAGCCAGGGGGTGGTCGGGGGTTCGGTAGTTTTAAAACTACCGAACGAATAAACGAACACTGGGGAAATAGGTGAAAGATTGTTGGAACCAAAGTTAGGAAATTCTGGTTTTCTGACAGGCATCAAAGAGGCTCAATTTGAGTCTGCGAAAATGATACACCTAAAGGATGTGGAATTTGTATAGCATGACACCCACAACATGCAGTCGTGGGCATCAAGCCTGGTGTCCTGCCCATACTAAAGGCAAAGGGTAGGGCTGCTACTGGAGACAGGGGGGGTTATTGCTGGGACAGGGACTTGCATCTCTGATCCCGGTCTGAATTCCACTAATAAGTCAGACCACAGCAGCTGGAATTCCCAGCCAATACCTAGTTTAGCTGCTATTACCTTTTTGTGGTTTTGTTGCTTATGTGATCTGTGCAGAAGCATGTTTGGTTGCAATATAGAATTCAACTGATATTGGATTATTTTTTTTATTTATTTTTTTCAAGGTTGAAACCTGTAGACTTTACAGTAAATTTTCAGCCAGGCCAAGTAGCCTGGAGGCTATTCCTAACATAATCGAAAAGGTAATTTTCATTTAAATATTTTTGGGGGGAATTGAATAACTGTACTGATTTAGTAGGGTTTCTATCCCAAAAAATTGAATTGCAAAGAGTTGAGGATGGAGTTACAAATGTTGGGTAAATTAGCTGTGCTGGAAATAGCAAACTTGTAAGTTTCCCTTCTCATTTCTCCTCGACTGTGTGTGTAGCAAGTACATTGCATTGTGTTCTAACAGAAAATCTTAAAGAGTGTGGTTAGGGCTGCATAAACAAAGTAACTTCTAAATGGCAGATAATTGAGTTAGACAGCAGTGGCAAAACCGCTTCATTAAGTTAAAGTTGTTTTGATGCTCACAATGACCATTTAATTGACACACATTTGCCACTCCAAGCTGTAAATTCATTTTAAGTAACTGTTTTTTCTCTCTTCCTTAGCCCCAAATCATCAGCCATACCTGCAAGGTCTTTTAATTTTACTCCGCTCTAGCCATCCGCCCACCCTGGTTCCCTCCAACTATATAGGATGCTCTTTCGAACCACAGCCAATCACCTCCTTATTCCCTGCACATGCTATCAGCTGCTGCAGTTATCCTATCAATTCTCTCTCTGCCATCACATACAAATTCCTCTACCTCTTGTCTGATCTCCCCAGTATAACCTTTAGATTTTACGCTTACGGGCAGGGGCCTCTCTACCTATTGTGTGGTCTTTCAGAAATGTACAGCGCTGCAGAATTCCAGTAATAAACAAAAAAACAAACAAAAAAAATATTTATGTATGTGTGTGTGTGTGTGTGTGTTTGCACTCCATGAAACACTACCAATATCTATATTGTAATATGAAGTCTGGCTGACTTTTCTTTTTCATGACTAGGGGAAGAGGAAGACATAAACCTAAAGTGTAGGTAAACTAGAGTACAAGCTTTGGGGGATAAAATGTTAAAAGCAATTGGTCAGAGAGAAAGAAGTGGGTCTGGGGACAGTTTTGGAACCTATCAGAGAAAGTAAACGTGGTTAGAGAGAATGCATGGCATAACATAATAGCACAATGTTGGATCATATTTTTTAAAATATATCCGTGTCTTACAGGATTATTCACTAGAGAAAATTCAAAGTGAATTTCAAATTTAAGGCCAATATAGCTGAATTGGAAAAGTCTCTAATTCAAGTGTTAAAGGCCCACTATAGTGCCAGGAAAACATACTCGTTTTCCTGGCACTATAGTGCCCTGAGGCTGCCCCCTCCCGCCCAGCTCTGGGGTGAGGAAAGGGGTAAAAACTTACCTTTTTCCAGCGCTGGGCGGGGAGCTCTCCTCCTCCGATCCTCCTCCTCTCCTCCCATTCTGCTGAATGCGCACCCGCGGCAAGAGCTACGCGCGCATTCAGCCGGTCGCATAGGAAAGCATTTACAATGCTTTCCTATGGACGCTTGCGTGCTCTCACTGTGATTTTCACAGTGAGAATCACGCAAGCGCTTCTAGTGGCTGTCAATGAGACAGCCGCTAGAGGAATTGGAGGAAGGATTAACCCATTTGTAAACATAGCAGTTTCTCTGAAACTGCTATGTTTATTAAAAAATGGGTTAACCCTAGCTGGACCTGGCACCCAGACCACTTCATTAAGCTGAAGTGGTCTGGGTGCCAAGAGTGGTCCTTTAACATTCACTTTGAATTCTCACTTTAGTAAATAATATTGTTGTCTGTTCTTCCACTTCATTATTTGGATCTTGATTGTTCTAGCTTTTTGTTTTTTATATAAATAATTTGTGCATTATTTCTTCTCCCCAGGCTGTGCGAACCAGTATATATGGCCGCCCTGGTGCTTGTTATGTTGATATTCCTGGAGACTTTGTAAATAAGAGCATTAGTACGAGTAATGTGAGGTTTGTTTACCTTGTGTAATAAGGTTCTTGATTTTGTAAACCGGTTAGAATTTTGTAGTAGAATGTTAATTGTTTATCTATTCCAAGTTTTATATTCTTTTTAGAGCAGTTCTTTCTATAAAATATATACATTGCTTTTAGCAATATTTTTCTCTTGCACTATGTATTATAGATCTGTAGTTTCACTTTAAAATGCAACAAACACTTGTTACTGAAGTAACAAACTAACCAGATACACGTGACCCATAGCTTTTCAAGTAATCCTGGCCAACCAAAGTTTGACAGCTAATGTAAAGGTTAGTTTACAGGAGCCGGGTCATACAACCCTTTTTAAAAAAAATTATTTTATTTATTTTTTGTCAAACTGCTAGAAAATAGTTTCACACAAACTGGGGAGATGACACCTAAGACTCATGATGAGCTGGAGTGGTTATGGTGTTTATGGTTATGGTGATAGTCTGATCTCTGAAAATCTGCTATTTCTTATACTAAAGAATAGCATTATAACATTAGGCATGTCTGATAGGGTTGCATGTTACATGTAAAATAGAGGCCAAAACCGCTATGTAAAAATATAGGTGCCAATAAAATACTAATCAGATTTATAATTGTAGACTTTATGTAGTACTTTTCCCTGATTGATGTCATTTTCTGAATAATTGAGGCTTTGAGAGATTGTAAATATCTGCATCAACTATTAGCCTACTGTTGGCACTACATGACTAATGACTCCTCCTATTCTCAATAAGTAATACAACACCATGTTAAGTGGGTAAGGGTAACTGCCAAAGCGCTTTTTTTTTTTTAAAACCAGCATAACAAAATACTGTCAGCTGCTCTTTTTACTCAGCAGACAGGTACACTTTAAACTTCTTCCAGAGCCTCTTCAGCCTGTCCTTCATCATCAACCAAATGCAGGCTGTGACTCCCCAAGCCAGTCCGGGCTTTATTCATTTACCAAACTTGCTGGCGCAGGACGGCCACCGCAGACCCCACCCCACAAAGCCAGCGCCTGTGTAATTATTCAATGTAACCCCATATTAAATGTATCCAAACCGACAGGAGTAAGATGTACCAAATCAGTACGCATAGAATTCTGGGTATCTCCTTCTAGTTCAACATGAGGCATCACCAATCCACCCAAGCATTGCACGAATCATGATATTGTCATGTTGAAGCGACATGTACCTCGCTATACCCCTTTTTTTTGTTGCGCGCTCTTGACCCAGGTAATTACCACCAGCGTGGATCAGCAGCATAACTGGTTCTGTCACATACCGCCGAAACAATCAGATTGCCAGCACCACCCCCTGATCCCATACCACCTAACCTTGATGCGGAATGAATGAGTTGAATAACCACTATCATCCATTCCTAATGAGCGCAACACCAACATAGACACTCTAGTGAATGGATAAGAACCGACCCATCTGCATGCACTCGAATATCCATATAATGGTTGCTCCAATCCTACTCACTCTACCACTATTCGTTTGATCAGTATTAGATCGCCAAATTAGAAATTCCATATCCACATCCTTCCTAAAAAAGGGGTGACTGAGCTCTAGAACTCCACCAATCTGCCGCACCACAGAGTTGCATAAAAACACACTGAAAAGGCCTCCTGAAACAGGATTGCTGCAAATGGGGAAACGTAAATAGCATGCAGGATCCCACCTATGTCTACCAGCAAGTGCACAATACAGTGCAATACCCGTTGAACCACAAATGCTTTAGTCACCTCTTCCCCTCACATGAAGTGCATCAAAATTTGAAAGAGCTGACCTACCCTGTTCCACTGACACGGATATCCCACGATGCCGCAAGTCAGAAAGAAAGGATAAAGTGGATAACAAGCTACTTTCTGAAGAACCAAATTCTCCTACCACACAAATCTATTGATCCCAAACTGTCAGGTATGCTGCCCAAGATGTAGGAGCCAGGGACCTATCAATCAAGTCAGTCAAGTTCTGAAACTGAGGTTACAGAAGCATTTGGGGCCCTCCACAAGCCTCTGTAGTCACAAAACTCCAAACTCCCAAAAGGCGAGTAAAGTTAAAAGGTAGATGAATACCAACCTCAGTAACTGAAAGCATGCTACATGGGCATGACTTGCAGACAATTCAAATGGCCCAGTAGGGATTACAGAATTCAAATAGCCCAATAGGGAGCCCCTCGAACCTGATCCACTAGAGATGACAACCAAAAGCTTGGTCTCCAGCAAGTGAAACACTTTATTAGCCAACTGTATGTAAATCCCCAGGAAGAAATAATCGTAGAGCCCTCTGTTTTCTCCTCAGCGCCTGGAACACCAAAATCTGCCATAACCCTGTGAAAGTGGAACAACAAGTTTGTTAAAACCTACTCTCAAAACCACCCATTCCAAAAAAGGAACTGGATAACTATAATAATATAAATATAATAATAGAAAAAACATGAAGGTACATGTCATAAAAACAAATTCCTATTAAACTGACAGCCCAATAAATTAAAATAATCCAAATGACCTGGCAAGAAACCAAATGCAAATTGAATTTTAGATTTTGCCAACAGGGCCCGATCAAGACTCCTATCGTACTCGACAAACCTTTTTAGCAATGCCATCATTCACTGACGATCCGTATGCTTGGTTAATTTTTTATTTTTAAACAAAGCCCAAAGGGGACACCCGCAAATTGTCAGTGACCCAGCCTAAACTTCTTCTTTTCAAGTTTCTCTGACAAGATATTCTCCTTGCCTTGAACCAAAAACAATTCGGTGCAAACGTTGCCTCCTGCGACACATCCAACAGAATATGGAAACCATCCGTAAAAACACCATTCCATAAAATTAAAGCATCCCTACACTTGGGTTACTGAACGAGCCATGTGAGCAGCCTAACGTCGTTCTTGGGAGGGACTTATCCAGTTTGAAACCGTGCACTGTCATATTTGCTCCCCTACATTGGGAACACTTTGTGATTAAAACAACAGCTGCTATACCACCTACAGTGGCTCTCATTAAAGAGCCAACAGATGCCATTCTTGTGACCTGCTGACACTCTTGCAGGAGCGTTGGTGGAAAATGGGTGGGCTACACAGAGACATAAGTAGCAACCAAAGGTTACAGTGCTGATCGCCAAATTTGTCTGTTTCTTTGCTTACCTTTGTCCCCCCTCCCCGACTTCCCTTTTGCCGTGGTCTGTCCACTGACTCACCCTTAATAATTTATTAAAGCCAGCATAGCAACATTACATACTGGACCCAGAGAGTGGGTACTACTTAACTCTACTGGTCCTGAATCCATAACTCCCGAAAGGGACGCCTCAGGACAGGGAGGGTACCCGCCCATGGACCCAGCAGCCCTGAATCCTGCGCAGGGGTGAAGTGCTGTAACACTACCCTGAGCAACTGCACTACTTCCCTGTGATACCCACTACCCCCCACTGACTCGGTCTGCGCAGCACAAGCGCAAGCATACTCATGATCCTGAAGCAGGGGAACCAGTCTCTCCATCCTCTGTAAACCGAATGCCAGGAAAACTGCACTTCGCTCTCCGAATTCCTCCTGCGAATTGCCTCAGAAACCAGCGACTGAATAACATTCTAATCCCAAATGACATCCGAATTCAATTACCAACTTGCCTCTGAATGCAATTTGCAAACTTCTCCCGAATTTGATCTGGCACCACCAAATGAAGTAGGGGCCTGTGATGTCCGTGCAGCGGTGCATATGGACATCAGCTACGCGCCCCTGGGGGAGGTTCGAGCATCAGTCCATCTCCCTGGCATGTGGCCGCATGCTCTGAAGTGACATCTTGCTCAGCCAGAAGAGAAGGGCTAGGGCTCAGGAACCTTACCCGGAATCCGGCGCCATCTTGGGAATGCGACCCAGATCTAGAAATTTGACACCTGGCACTCTACAGGACCTTCTCCTCACCGCAATCCCCAGGATTTTAGTCCCCAAACCAGCCTCGCTCAGTTCAGGACTCCTGGGGGATGCTGAAGCTGCTCTGGATCGCTCAATAAGACTTGGGCCGGGCCCGTCTGCTCACAGGTGAAGAAGCCACTTCTCTTTCCGATCCACAATGTTTTCCCGAGCCCTCCATGAGACCTTCTTCTATTAAGGAAGCATAGGACTCTCACCATGAGCCCTATGGGAAAACTTGCAGCAGAGTGAGTAATGCTTCCTTCGACATCTCTGAAACACTTGCCATTTTATTTGGGAGGAAAACTCAATTTCTCTAAATGTAATTTTTTTAGAGGGACCACCAGAGGAAAGAAACTGCCAGGCTCCCTCAGCATTGTTTGCCAGTAGTCTGGAACTTTTTCTCAGAATTCCCTGCTTCCAAATGTATCAATTTGGTTGGTATGCCGACCCTTCAGTGCAGCAGTCATACTCCCCCCTCCCTCTTTGCTCTGGGGGTTGACCTGATATTTGTGAACTACATTTAACATGTCCGAGAAAGCGGGCCAGTGAGTTGTCCCTCTACTACTGTTCTGTACAAAGTCTGCCCTTTTGGCCAATGGAGCAGCTGTCAAACGTACATTAGACCATTGAATGTACTATTAGGGCCTTGATTTAATGCTTTTGGATACACTTTTCAAATTAATATTAAGCTTTTATAGGGATTTTTCAACAAATTCAAATATCCTAGTATATGTAATATCTTTAAAAATAAATAAAATTAGATTTTTTTCAAAATAATACATTATTTTAAATGTTTTTCCCCAGAAAATATTACCTCCAGGACAAATCTGACACGCTGGACCCCTAAAGCAAGTTAGCTTGTTGAAATGCTTTATCTGTGAAGTGTTTTATTTTTATTTTATATTTTACAAAAACCTTGTTATATACTCCTGGCTGTCATTAAGACAACCGGTCCTGTTATTTCCTGGTTGTCTAGCCTAGAGCACCTGCTTTGAAAAGATCTCTCATTGAGCTGCATTTGGAAGTCTGTGATTGGGCAGCCACAGAAAGTGTGGGCGGGGTTATAATGGGAGGGTTTGCAATGTCTGCAGATAAGATATCTGCAGGTCTTGCAAGCTGTTTTTAGATAGATATACCCCCAATGAAAAAAATGCATAATAAAATGCATGCATGTTTTCATTTGGGGTATACAATAAATGGTGGTTTTATTTTATTGTGGGCAGTGGAGTGTCCCTTTAGACATGCAATATCTACAGATGGGCTGCTAGCACCATGAAAAGTGTTAACTACCATCTCTCTGATGTCTGACCTTCAGGTACCCTGATTGCTGTTTACCAGCTCCCATCAGTCTGGCTGATACATTTGAAGTGCACAAAGCGTTGCAGATCTTAAAGAATTCTCACCAACCCCTTGTAATAATAGGGAAAGGTAAGTTACCTACCACTTCACTTGGTGTGTTGCCATGGCAGTGTTTGCATGCAAGCTTTATGCATAGACCCAGTGAGAGCATGACATTCTGAAGTCTGGTGTAATAAGGTTCACTGGTTTAAGGAATCTTATCTGTACAAACAAAAACAAATCATACATTGAAACATGTACAGAAGGATTACAATTTGTAATTGATTGTTCTATAGGTGTGTGTTTTTGTTTTTTAATTTTATTTTTTTAATTATCTTTTCTGTTTATTTTAAGGGGCTGCATCTTCACGAGCAGAAAACAGCATCCGAAGATTTGTGGAAGACTGTGGACTTCCATTTTTACCCACTCCTATGGGTAAAGGAGTTGTACCCGACAACCATCCAAACTGTGTATCTGCAGCACGATCCAGGTGAGCTTCATTCAGCATTTTTATAACACGAACAAACTGAGATTTTTGATTTGTGGCATTCAATTATGGTAAACACATGTTGGCAGAAAAAAAAAAAAAAACAACAACTAGTAATTCAAAATTCCTTCCACCTGACTATTATCCCGACGCTAAAGAGCTGGTTGGATTTGAGAAACCTGAAATCGATCTCTCCCCATTGCTTTATGTTGTTAGACTTTGACCATGCATAGATTTTAGTTAAAGCGGCACTGTCATGCCGAACTTACCTTTCCCTAATTGCTTCCTCTTCTCTCCCTCTCTCAGGATCTGTTCTTTTCTTCCTAACTGATCTAGTTTTCTTTAAGACACAAGACAAAGTATTTTTACTACGCTTGCCCAGCTATGACCCAGGGGATGAGCAAAGACCGCTCAGTTTCCTATGGCGGTAGTAGCAATAAAGAGTACAATTCCCCAAGTAGTACTAATCCAAAGAAGGTATAGCTTTCCCCCACAGACATTGGTCAAGACTGAATGCTGGGAGTGAACTGTTTTATTCAGGGCCACACAAGGCCTTTTATGCAAAAGCCCCTACATGGTGTTTCTAATACAACATTACAGGGTAATCCTTCCCATGATACTCTGTGCCTGAGAGATAATTACATGGGGGAAAAAAACATATAATTAAATTATCTCTCAGGTACAGAAACATCTAAAAAAATTTGGACACCCCAAAATATACATAAAACAACCATGTACCTCGTCAAGTCTTATATCCCTGGATAGCCTGGATCTGAGCGCACAACGTATCCGAAAATCGCTCAGATCCCACAAATACAGCTGAAACACCACTGCGGTAAAGTCTTGACTGACCGCACACGAGGCTCCTGCCCAAAATAGTTCTACAGAACCAGCGGCAGCAGTTGGTCATACTTTCAAATAGTGAACGTATGCTTGAGCCGGTATGCAGATGGTGTTCACCTCATTCGTGGGGATGATTACACTGAACAGTGTTCTTCCAGTAGGTATAGAAACGAACGCAGGTGGGAATGGAAGTTCAGCGGTGTTCGCAAGGTCAGGTGGGGGCCAGGGGGTGTCTCTCCCCCCCCCCCTTATTGTTTAGTGCCCCCAGCCGGGCACCACTCAGGGGTCGGAGCCGTGGGGGAGGACAATAGGTCCTTCCCCCCTTAGTTATTAAGGGCCACCACTCACCGCTCAGGGGTGGGGGTTATGGGGGGAGCGCAATAGGTCCCCATTTCAGTTTAATAGCCCCTTCTAAATGACAGGACGATGAGGAAAAGTGAAAGGAGGCATTGCGAGATCATGGAGGAAAGGTGAGAATTGTGGGAAAATTGCTTTGACCACCGGAAATGAAGCACACTGTGTTCCTCCGCTGGTCATGCGTAGGAAACCTCCATAAGACAAAGTAGTCCCTACTTTGTCTTATGTTTTAAAGATAACTAGAGCAGACAGGAAGAAATGAGGAATAGATCCTGACAGAGGAAGAGAAGAGGAATCGATTTAAAGAACGGTAAATTCTGCATGACCGTGCTGCTTTAATAATCTTAATATGTTAGAACCCACAACCGTCGCTCATGGGTGGGGGACGGGCAGTAGGTGTGTGTGTGTGTGTGTGTCCCGTTATTGTATCTTAGGGTCGCCACCCATGTGTGGGGCTTCGGGGGGGGGGTACACTTTGGTCCCCCTCCCCCACCCATTATTTTTATAGGAGCCACACTAAGGGGCACGTTATCAGAGTAGTGGAGGGGGTCTTTTTTACAACTGGCTGCTCACAGTTTAGTAGACATGCCCCTACTCGCGGTATAGCAAGCAGGGGCAGATTAATTCCGAATACAGTGGAACCTCGGAACTTGAACGTGCCCGTTGTCGAACTTTTTGTGTAAAAAAAATGTCTCGGCACGTGAACAATCCTCAGTACCCGAACACATCATGCGGCATTCACAGAGGGACTCCAGTGTGGGGAAGCATGGGATACAGGTGTAAGATGAGGAAATATGGGCAGATGGACTATGTAAAGGGAGAGAGGGGAATATAGGGCGAGGAAAACCGGAGGGCAGAGGGACACAAGTGAAGGGATATGGACAGAATTATTATGCAAGGAGAAAGAGAGGAAAATATGAGGAGAAGGATACCAGAGGACAAAGGGACACGAGTAAGGGAAGAGGGACTATGGACATAAGGATACAAGCAGAGGAAAGAGTGGTATTAGATATTTTGAACCTGAAACAGCCATTTTATCTGCTTTTGTATGGAATGCCAGAAGAACAGTTATCTATCCCCATCCATGTAATTTTGGGGGTTTGGAACAGATGAAACAAATTTACATTAATTCCTATAGGAAATGTTGATTTGATTTTCAAACAAATCGGAACTTGAACAGCGTTCTGGGACAGATTAAGTTTGAGTTCCGAGGTTCCACTGTACTAAGTAATCTTTACTTAGTATTAGTAACTTTGGCTGAAAGACCAATTTAGGACTTTCAACCTTTTAGTAGATAGCTCCCTAATTCCGACGATATTAGGGAGCTATTTACTAATCTGCTTTTTAGTGTTAGCGTAGTGCTATGTTATTTTTTTTTTTATAAATCTTTATTTTTCATGTGGAAAGATAACATATTCAGGAAGTTGGCCACAACAGCCTCGACACATCGATTAGAATCAGTACATATCAAATACAAGGCATTGTTGTGTGCTATTCACACACATTTTATATTTACAATAGGTCACATTGTTACAGTGAGGTTTTAAAATCTAATAACTGTAGGGGTGGAAGACTTCTGTCTGCCTAAGACACCCTAAGGTCTGTGGAGTCGTAGGTGGTGGGGGGAAAGGCATTTACTGCTAGGTCCAGTGGCTGGTCCCAATTCTAGGTCGTGCGACTATAGTTTATGGGTGTTGGGTGAGTCTCTTGACCCTTTTGAGTTTGGGTAAGGATGCGGATTGCGGTAGTTACGGGGTCCCTCTAATGGTGCCTGTCTAGGGCTATGTCCGCTCCTCTTTTGCTTTTCCCTGGTTGTAGCTATTGGTGGGTGCCCATGTGTGTGGTGCTCAGGGTGTCTTTGTGGCCCTAGTGGTAACTACAAATCGTGTCTATGTATATACATAGGTCGTTGTAGTGTGACCGGATCAAGTTGTGCCCTTGGGGCATCAGACCTCGCGATGAGCCTGATTCCAGTCAGGGTTACTTTGTCGCCTTTGATGTCGTTTCCCATTAACCCAAGGGGGGGGGGATTGTTATCGGAGCTAGTGTGCGCGGCTCTGGTGGGCCACTTTAGCACTGTTATAGCCGTCAGAGTATGAGAGAACTACATTTAACTTAAATGAACCGATTTATCAACTTAAAATATTTAAACTAGTGAAACTAAGGCCTATGAGGCCGTCGGTGAGGCAGTTCGTTCAGGTTTTGGTTTTCGGTCCTCTGCTTATTCCAGGAGTTGCGGATGAATCTGTGCTCGTTGTCCCTGGTCGTTGAGCTGGCTGTGTCATAGAGGTCGCTGCGAGGTTCGATATTCCCAATGCGGTCATCAGTGCCGGGCCCTCTGCGTGGTCGGTAGCTCTGTAGTGCTTGTCATCTTTAGTGACCCAGAGAGTTCCTGGTGTTGCCCATCTATAGGCTACTCCTGCGGCTTGGAGTTGTTTGGTGATTGGTTGCATACTTTTGCGCCACATCAGTGTGGCCCTGCTCAAGTCCTGAAAGAAGGAGAGTTTGCTGTCTTCAAAGTCAAGACGTGTTTTCCCTTGCATAGCCGCCATTAGCCCCAGTTTGTCCAACATTGATTGGCATCTCAATATTATGTCCCTTGGGGCTGAGTTGGGTGCTTGTGGGGATTTGGCTATCCTGTAAACCCCGTCGAACTTGAATGTTTTAGATTGTCTAGTTGGCAGGAGTGTGGCCACAAGGCGTCTGATGAAATGTGGCAACTCTTCCAGCGGTATTGATTCAGGTACCCCTCGGATTTTTATGTTCTTTCGACGCCCCCTATCATCTAGGAGAGTAACTTGCCTGGACATTGTTGCTTGTGCAGCTTGAAGGTGTCGCACCGTCTCTCCCAATTCCTGGTAGTTCCCTCTTAGTCCCTTTACCTCCTCTTCTACCGCTTGAGTGCGCGTGGACACGGCGTGCACGTCTAGTTTAAGCACTGCCAGGTCCGCTTCCCACATTTGTCTTAAGTTCTGTTGCAGGCCTGTCAGCATAGCCTGTATGTCTTGTTTGGAGGCCGGTGCGCTGGCTTCTGGCATCCACGTGTGTGTGGGGTGTTGGGGATTGAGGTGTGGGCTGTCTAGTGATTCTTCCTCCTCTGATGGTGCTGGGGAGGTTTCACGGGGGGTCTGTGCCTTTACTGCGCTTGGGGCCTGTAACATTTGGCCTATGTCGCGCTGCGGTTTTGGGGCGTTTTGGGGCAGTTTCTGCGTTCTGCGCCCCATCTCACCTGAGCTGTGTGTGCTGGGGTACCAGTCCTCAAATTCTGGAACACTCCAGGGCCAGTGTTCTCCCGTGCTGGGTTGAGGTTGCCTCCCTGCCCGGTAGGCCTTGCCGCCTCGGCGTCTATTATTCGAGCCGGGCGTCAGGAGAAACGGCATCGGCGGTTGCAGCGAGGTTCCCTGCGGGCTGTGGCTGATTATGTGGCCGGGATTAGTGCGGGATGCCTCCGATGTGGCTGGATTGCCGTGCGGTAGCTCGGAGCTCCGGCAATGTGCGTCCGCTCCGGTCCGGTGCTAGGCTCCGCCCCCGGGGGCATTCATTTTTAATATGTTTATTCGACACAGCCAGCCAAAGTGGGGCTATGCAAGCGAGGTCTTGTAAGATTTCCTGTATCAGAGGGACGAAATTGATTTCATATAGCTTAGTTAAGACTGGGGGAGTAGAACTCCAAGATATTTCATAGCTGTGGGGGCCCAGATAAAGGGAAATTGTTCTTGAATGGACAATTTCACTGTAGGAGTGATGTTGAGTGCTAGGATTTCACTTTTTGTAAAATTAACTTTGAAATTAGAAAGCTTATTGTACCAGGTCATTTCTTGGAGGAGATGTAGCATGGTATCTAGGGGGTTGAAAAACCATGAACAGATCATGAGCGAATGCTGCAACTTTGTGTTAGTGTCCAGCTTGTAGCCCTTGTTTACTTGAATTGAATCATATACCTTGGAGGAATGGTTCCATTATCAGAACAAATAAGAGAGAGGAAAAGGGGCACCCCTGCTTCGTGCCATTGCCAATGTTAATTGGATTTGATAGCTGTCTATTGATTTTAAGCCAAAGAGAAGGTGTAGAATATATCGCCCAAAGCCAATTGGTCCAAAGCCCATAGCTTGTAGTGTGCCAAATAGCAGAGAGCAACCCTTCCTGTCAAATGCATTTTCAGCGTCGATTGAGAGTAAAGGACTCTATTTGATGGAAAGTTTGGAGATGTACATGAGATTCAGCAGTTTTGGCATGTTTTTTTTCACCTCCCTCCCAGGCACGAAGCCTGCCTGATCAGGGTGGACTAGGTTTTGCATTTAGCGTATGTGTGGATGTTTTGAGCTGTGATCCTAAAAGGGTCCGGTAACTATAGATGTTGCTTTTGAATACTGAGGGTTTTGAACTCTTCTTTTTGCAGCTACAAGAGTTATATTACTTTTATGACTGTATTTCCTTTTAAATTAACACTCTTTAAAAAGTTCCTGATACTTGTTAGATTTCCTTTTTCTGTTATTGATTTTTTTTTTCTATTAATAGAATCACAATAAACCTTGTCAGTAATGCAATATTTCCTTTAGCCTGATCCCTTTTTGATGAAGTCATCAATACTAATATCTTTTGTCCAATCATATGCTTCTCAAAGGAAGTGTAGTGAACACACAGCACATGCACAAGAATTCCCACACTCCGTGAATCCGATGCTTCTCTGTGGGAAGCATTCCATATGCTCAGTGTCCGCATGCTGGGAATTATGATGCAAAAAATTAAGTCCTTTGAAGGTCTTGAAGTGACTCACGTAGCTAGGTCTGACAGCCACTATATGCGTTTTCACACAAATGTAAATATTGCTGTTTCTGAAAAATAGCAATGTTTTTTTACTTTATCCAAGAAGAGGAGCAACACCTATGTTTCAAAATAGCTACATTAAGGTGTATTGTAGTGATTTTGCTGCTTGGTGTTCTTTTCATTTTGATTCTAGAAAGTGAGAACCATCATTTATAGAAAAGGCAGTTACTGTGTGGTGTGTGTGTATATATATATGTGTGTGTATATGTGTATATATATATATATATATATATATATTACCTCTCACCAGGTAAGATTTTTGTTAATAAATGAGTTAAACAAATAAAACTGTCAAATGCAGGAAGGAGACTGGCAAGGCAGATTTCAGCTTTTCACAGCTGTTGCCTGGATACCGTCTTTAAGTTTTGTTATATAATACTTATTTCTTCTTATGTTAGTGCTCTGAAGAATGCTGATGTTATATTACTGCTTGGTGCTCGGCTTAATTGGATTCTGCACTTTGGTCTCCCACCAAGGTTTCAAGAAAATGTGAATATTATACAGGTAAAAAAAATGAAATATAATACTATATGGTTAATAAAAAGGTTATGCATGGCACTAAAAATATTTATTGAAGGACACGCCAGACCTCTAAAGCACTTCAGCTCTGTGTGAAGGGTGACTTGTATTTATTTTTATTTTTTTTACAAAAAGTGCAGATTAATAAAACTTGGCACTTTTATAAATTACCCTTGTTACACTCCCTGGCTGATAAGTGATCAGATAAGTGTGGTCATGTTACTTCATGGTTTGGATAGTTCAGTGGAGCTAAACTCAAGATGCAGGTAATTGCCCTGAGCACCTACCTCACAAATCCTTCTCATTGAGCTGCATTCGGAAGTCTGTGATTGGACAGCTACATAAAGTCTGGGCTGGGTTAGAAGGGCTTTCATAGGTTTCAGAGAAAAGATCAGCAGCTCTTGCAAGCAATATACTCCCAATGTAAAAAATGCATAAGTAAAAGCATGGATGTTTAAATTTTTGGGTATACCTACTAAACACTGATTTGTATCCTTTGTATTTGGGCAGTGTAGTGTCCCTTTAATATTAAATGCTGCAACCAATCAATGTTTTGTGCTGACAATAAATAAAAATAAAATGTTTATATGTCAACTGGTTCCTGAAGAGATGTGGCTGCATTTAACTATAAATCCGCTCAGGTACACCAAATTAGTTTTTTATACAGATTCAGCGTTATGAGATACTTACAAGTGACAGTGTAACTTTTTAAATAGGCCTCAGCAGAAAGGGACATGGCATACCAGCTGCTGTCTCATCTGTATTTGTCCCCTCCTCTTGTCTGTCTGTGTCACACATCAACCGTTAAATATCTTAGTCTTCATTAATTCGCAAGTTGCTTTCAGTTATAGCTCCGAAGTGACAATGATGAATTAATATTTGGTCCTTTACAGGTGGATATTTGTGCAGAAGAGCTTGGTAATAATGTTAAACCTGCAGCCAGTCTCCTGGGGGACATCGATGCAGTGACTAAACAGGTAAGCAATACTAGATTTGGGCATAAAGTAATAAGTGAGAGCTAACATATGCACAAATAAAACGAAAGATTGAAAAATGATTATTTAATTTTCTCTGTGTCCTCTTCAACAAGTATTTATAATCAAAAAAATTCCTAATGAAATCCCAATCCTAATATACATTCCAGACAGGGCCGTCTTTCCGCATGGTCTCGCTGGGCAGTTGCCCATGTACCAGGGGGCCGACAGGGGAGATGCTTTGATATTCCCTGCCAACCCACGGAGAGTCGGCCCTATTAACTTGCTTTGGGTAAAGTTAAGACGGGGGGCTGGGGGAGCACATAAAGCTTTTATTTAATGTTTTTTGGTTTTTTTAATAATATACATATGCTCCCTTAACCCTCATACACACACTCTGCACCACTCACACACAGAACCCCTTGCACACTCTACACCCCTCACACAAACACACACACTCTGCATCCCTCACTAGCACAGCACCCCTCATTGCACATACACTGCACACCTCACATACACACTCTGCACTTCTAACACACACAGCACCCATAATTAACACTGAGCACACACATACACTGCACCCCTCATTGCAGAGAGAGTGCTTGTGTGTCTGTCTCTCACAGTCATTTGCTGGAGGTGCCAATAAGCTTAGTTTTATCGCTAATTTACATTTTTATTCCTATGCGTTGTTTTGTAAGCGGGGCCCCAGTGCACTGCTTTACCCGGGGCCTATAATGCTGTTAAGATGTCACTGATTCCAGATTGGGTTGGTAGTGTCTGAAAAGCTGGGCTAATGAAATAAGTAATGGCTTGCTGACAGAAAATAAAACAACTGAAAAACAACTTTAAAAATGTTTAAAACAGCAGTTTGCACGAAGTTACTGGCTAGGCTTCATAAATTAAAAAGAAAGGAGGAATAGACTGATATATGTCAGTTGCTTGTAGTAAAGTGATTCAGACTAGCAAATGGCTTGTCAAACACAATAACATCCTTGCCGACATGGAGGCCATTTTAATTTTGCCACAACGACTGGCAATGGTGTGGAATATAGGTTCAGTTTCTCAGGAACAGCAAAAGATTCTTCCCTGGTGAAGGCGGGGATAACCTTCACCAGTCCAAAGTGAAGGGGTGGAGACAGGGCACCAACGTTAGTTGTCAGAGGCACCCGCAGTTCCAGGCCAGGAGGCCGCAAACTGGATTTCATGCTGTAGGCTAAAAGGTGAGACTTGGTACAAGGGAGCCCCACTGTAGGCTGGACCGGGTAAGCAGTCACTTGAGTATGGTCTAAAAATAAATAAGTCAGAGCCAGAAGACGTGTGGCTACAACTGCATAAACAAATGCGATTTAAGTCCTAAATGGCATAGCATTAAGCAGTGAGAATTCAGGGGCATGATTTATACCAGGGGTACCAGGTATCTGTAATAGAGTACCAGGGGTAGGAACCCTTTGACACACCAAATGTTGTGGACTACATCTCCCCTGATGCTTTCCTAGCATTTCGGATGTAAGAGCATAATGGGAGACATAGTCCATAATATCTGGTGTGCCGAAGGTTGCCTACCCCTGATCTATCAACTAAAATTGCTTCATTAAGCCAAAGTTGTTTTGGTGTTTGGAGTGTCACTTTAATAGTTATTTAATTATGACTTAAAGAAGCACCATAAGTATAGGCTGTTGTAGTGGTTATAATGCTAGTAGGTTTTTGACATCATCCCCTGGTTCTATTGTAAAATGTTTTTTTTGTTTTTTGTTTTTTTTTAGTGGTTTAATACAGACCGAGGATACCACATGTGACCATAGCCTGGCCCCTATTTCACTGTATCACAAATGTAAAACTTTTATATTAGTGCATGAGGAATAGTAAATTCATCAATATTTAAATGCCATGGATTGTCTGCAGGCACCTGTGTGGACACTTCGATTGTGTCAAATTGCTGGAACCCATTTGAAACACAACCCTGGGATAGTACCAGAAGCCTGCTAGCACCATAACCACTGTAACAGGCTGTAATTACTATAGTGCTAACAGTAGCCCTTTAGAATTCTGCTTATCTTTGCTACCTAGATGATCACTTGCGTTTAAAAAAAATTATGCTCCTTCAGCTTTTAGAACATCAGCGCAGAACCACCTGGAAGTACCCATCAGATTCTACTTGGTGGAAGAACCTCAGGGCAAAAATAAAGGCCAATGAAGAAAATACAAACGTGAGTCTTTTTTTCCTGGAAGGGAAGTTACCATTTTTATAAACGCCATATGTCAAAGAAATATAAATGATTAAAATATATTACCATACAAGCTGCTTATTGTTACTACTAATCTGAGAAGGGCATAGTAAGCCTGAGTACAGGAGCACTGTTACAATCCTTGAATTAATTAATCCTTTCAGGCCAAGAGGTTATGCAAATATGATGGTCATATCATGCCATCTGTTATGAAGGGGTTAAAAATGCAAACATAAATGTTTCTTTTATTGTGTAAAATCTAACCCATTGAATGTTTAGGTGTAAATACAGTAGTGATAGCTTTGTGGATGATTTTTGCGAGCTAATTCTGTCATTATTCTTCCATTTTTATCCCCTATCTTTTCTCAAATTGTCTTTCTGCATTATATTATATTCTGTATATATTTTTTTTTCTCCCCCATAGTTTTTCTCACTCTGTATTGTAAATGTCTGTTTTTTTTCCAGATCCTCTTCCCTTTTCCCAGAATTAATAAGCAGTGCCAGTAACGCTTGTTTGCTTTATATAATTAAATTAAAGCTCATTTGAAAAACTGCTTCTATACTGGTTGTTTCATGCTTCAAAGGGCATTTAAAGGATCACGATAGGGTCAGGAACACAAACATGTATTCCTCACCCTATAGAGTTAAAACCACCATCTGGGCCCCTCATGCCTCCATAAATATTGCAACATCTTACTGTATTCAAGCCAGAAGCTGTAACTCTGCATGCTGTTTGCCTCAAAAAAACAAACAAAAAACAAGCATCAGAAGTGGTAGCCTGCTTAAAATCACAGTGCTTCCCCATAGGATTGGCTGAGACTGACAAAGAGGCAGACCAGGGGCAGAGCCAGCATGATTCAAACACAGCCCTGGCCAATCAGCATCTCCTCATAGAGATTAATTGAATCAGTGAATCTCTATGAGGAGAGTTCAGTGTCTGCATGCAGAGGGAGGAGATACTGAATGTTTGGATGCATTTTAGGCAGCCATGACCCAGAAAGGATCTCTAACCGCTATCTGAGGAGTGGCCAGTGAAGGTATCGCTAGGCTGTAATGTAAACACTGCATTTTCTCTGAATAAATTCAATAAGCCATAGTTGTTCTGGTGACTATAGTGTCCCTTTTTATTATTATTATTATTATTATTGCCATTTATATAGTGCCAACAGATTCCGTAGCGCTTTACAATATTTAAGTGTATAATGGAGAAACATATATTATTTTATTGTAAATGTACTTTATATATTGAAAACTTGTTTTGTTTTTTTGACCTAACTACACTTGTGTATGTCATCTGGTGGGGTTTTTTGTTTGTTACTTTTTATTTAAATTTTTTGCAAACCTTTTGGTGGTGCTTATTAATGTATTGTGTCCATAAAGATATGTATAAACTATGTATCTGGTTCTAGGCTTTGGCATTGCAAACCTCCCTTCCTATGAATTACTACACTGTGTTTCACCATGTCAGAGAGGAGTTGCCTAGTAACTGCATCATTGTGAGTGAGGGAGCTAATACGATGGACATTGGCCGGACCATGCTCCAGAACTACCAACCACGACACAGGTAAACAGCATTTTCATGGCTGCTTTACGAACGTGCACAAAATAGTACACAATGAGTCAACAGTTAATTAAATTGGACCTTTCATTGTTATGTAATATGCAACTGTTTCCAATATACCCAAGAGTGCCATGTCTAACAAGTACACAGAAGGGTCCAATGAAGCTGTGGGGTTCTTGGTCGTGACAGTTATATTTTCCAGCTTTCATAGAAATGCATAATAGTGCTCTTTGGAAGTGTGGATACATGTTTCGTCCATATTGTTTAAGAAGATTAAATAGCCAGTAATTTTAGCTATCAATGATTGGTGGATGATGTCACTTGGAAGGCTTACCGGCAGTTAGCTCACTACGCACCTTCCACCATTGTAAGTACCCAAACTATTCTAGAATGGTTTGATTTCTTCATTTTGGGGCCCCCTGGGCACCATTCTTTTAAATAAAATAAATAAAAAAATCTACCTTTTTATTAAGTGTAAGGTCACAGGTCGACTTTAGAGTGACACTGTCATTTATGTGATCTTTGCATTTTTTTACATAGACCCTCCACGGTGACATGTCTGCTAACACTGGGAACCTGTGAAAATGGGGGAAGGATTATTTGTAATGCTCTTGAAGGGGAAAGATGCTTGACCTTCTCTCTCTGCAGTGGCACCATAATCCACTTGAGCTCTGCTAACCGTTCTGGTAGCTTCATCTGCAGGGAGCCCACGTTTATGATAATACAAAACAATGGTTTATGGAACATGCATGGGGGTCTCTATAGATGATTGTGACCAGGTGCCGTGAAATACCATAGGAATCTATTGGGCATCACATAAGAAGATGCCTGTTGCCGTTAGTTGTTGCTTACGGTTGCAAGATGTGAAAGCAGAAGCTACCGATCCTCAATCCTTTGCCATATTTTGGCAAAATGTTTTAAGTCCATGTCGGTCAGTGAGTAAATGTAACTTACAGGTGAAAATCCAGTTAAGTATGTATACTCCCCTTGAGGTATATTTCTGCTGTATTTGTTTTTTTCACTTGTTTCTGTACAAATCACCACACACCGTGTCATCTGCTTTTAGCTCTGTCCACTCCAGAAAGTAGCGTGTCCACTCAGAGCCTTTCTTTATGTTCTAAGGTTTCTGAATGTTTGCACATGCGTAATCCAATGCAAGGATTAAAAGTTAGTTGGGCACTTGCTTTTTTTTTTTTTTTTTTGCAGTACAGATGTACAAATGGATCAGTCACTATCGGACACAGATCAATCACGCCTGTATGTCTGCACTGTATGTAGTGAATACAGACTGCTTAGCAAGTTTCAAAGTTCTCTGTAAACTGCCCCACTCTTGGGGGGGAGGTTCTGTGACTTCTCTGTAACTAGATCAGTTACCAGCTTTCTACTAATATTAGTTATTAGATTAATTAAACCCATAATTCTTTGCTGTGCTTCCGGTTGACAGCTGTGTTATTTGACATTGCATGTTTGCAGGGAAGTACAGAAAATCTGATGTTTTCGTCTTACATACAGGTTAGGGACCAGCAAAAAATAAGTATTTTAGAATGGGGAAGGTGACAGAGGGAGCAGTGTTAAAATACAGATTGCTGTAAAATATTTTTTTCTGTAAACATAGTTCATAAGGCAAGCCAAAAGCTTGGAATCTTCTTAATTTAAAGTTCTAGACTTAACCCTTTATTTTTTTTCTGTGTTCAATTTGTTTCAGCATTTAAATAATTGCATGTAAATGTGTGTATTACACCATAAAATACATCCTCATTACAAACTCATTGTTTTGTAACAGATTGGATGCTGGCACATTTGGCACAATGGGAGTTGGCCTGGGGTTTGCCATAGCAGCAGCAATGGTGACAAAAGAACAGAGCCCTGAACAACGAGTGATATGCGTGGAGGGAGACAGCGCCTTTGGTTTTTCTGGTATGGAAGTTGAAACAATGTGCCGGTAAGATTTCTTGTAAAGTTATTATATATATTTTTTTTTTTGTAGTGTCTAAGGATATGCATCATGTAGAAAAGAAAGTGATCTGTGGGAAATTTGTTTGAAATAAAACTCCCAAGGCTATTTGCTTTGTATGAACTACCCAGTCACTTATAAAGTAAAAGTAAATCTATCACTTGAAATACGAAACCTATTAATGGAATACATATTTGTATTCCCAACGCTATAGAGCCTATGTCACCTTTTAGGTGACTAGAGCCCCGTTCTGTAGTAAATAAATGGCTAACCATTTATTTGCTTACCTTAATCCAGCGCCAGGCTCCCTCAGCTCTGGTGACCTCTCCTCCATCTACGTCAGCTCCTGAGTGGAGCCGCATGCGCGCACATTTAAATCCACCCATAGGAAAGGATTACTCAATGCTTTCCTATGGAGATCTTTTTTGATGCTGGACTCCGTGAGGATGTCCAGCGTCAAATAAGTGCGATTTACTCCGTATAAATCGTGGAAGTGGCCTCTAGTGGCTGTCAGGGAGGCAGCCACTATAGGCTGGATTAACCCTGCAGTGTAAACATAGCAGTTTCTCTGAAACTATTTTCAGCTGCAGGGTTAAAACTAGGGGGACCTGGTACCCAGACCACTTCATTGAGTTGAAGAGGTCTGTGTGCCTATAGTGGTCTTTTAACTATGGAAAATATTTTCAGAACAATCTTACTGGTTCCAGTTATTACATGTATATTGAGTGTGATTTAAATGTACTCTTCCACGTATTCTGATGAATATAAAATGTTATAGCATTACTAATCTATAGAGGACATTGTCCCTATTACTTTCATGCCAATGTCCTTGATTTGTGTATCAAATGTTTAAATATTAGACTTGTAATCCTGATGGTAGTCTGTACTTTAACAAATCATTTTTTAAAATGTTATTTATTTCTTTATTCTCTCTAGATACAACCTGCCCATCATTATCATAGTTATAAATAACAATGGGATATACAGTGGATTTGATGAGGATACTTGGGCTGAAATGTTAAAGTCTGGTGATCCGGAGTCTATGTGAGTATACACCTGCATGGTGGACAAACCTTGCCTCTGGTAAGGATGACTAGGATATATATATCATAAATTCCCAAAGTGTATGGGTTAGGAATACATTCAAGTGTCCTTCCCAAGTAGAGGTATATCAAGTTCCATCCTCAGGCTTTTCCTTCAGTTTCTTCCCAAGAAAACTCAACTTCCCAAATCAGTGATATACGTTTACTAAGTCCACTACTCATTGCAATGAACATGTTGGTGTTCCACCCATCAACCCAGTGTTATTCTTGTTGTACTTCCACAGGCTTTGAATGATCTGATACATTTCTTTGGGTATCCAACAGCCTAATGTAACCATAAGAGATATGCAGTGTCCTTAACACTTTCCTAATTTTTTTTAATACAGTTTATTAAATCTGTCACATTTGTTCCAGCTGTTGCTTTTTCGTGCCCTAACTTTGGTATTTGAATGTACATAATTTTAATCGACACCGCGGATTTATGAATATTTGCACGGTTTTCTGAACTGATATTTCTAAGAAAACGAATGGAATTTGCTATTCTGAAAACCATCACTTACGCAAATATGTTCAAAATAATGATGAAATTGAACCTTCCTGTGTGATGGCCTTTTACCGGAACCACCAGTCCCGGCTATGGGTGTGAGATCGCATCCATGTGTGTTATCAATATACATGTTATTCCCAGAGTTAGACCTGGTAGATTTCCATCTCCGTATAAAGCTTCAGGTGTCCTGCACTGAGAACAATAATCCCAGTTTCCTTTATATCCTTTAATGATTTTTTATTTTTTTTGTATCCGGATGATCTGTGTGTGACTCCCAATTGTCCAATTCCTTCACATCATCATACAACTGATAGAAGTCTGCCCTACTGCTAGCTTGAATGAGGCCATAGACTTAGCTGAAAGGATCCATAGCCTTGCCACAGTCTTATTATACCATAGTACTAAGCCTGAGTGTTGCATCTTCAGTCAGTCCCTTCGGTAACTAGCACTGCACAGTAGCAGGCATTCTGAGAAGCTTCTTGGTGTCTTAATTCACTGGCCCGCTGAATTTCGCACAGGTTAGGCATATTTGGTTTGAGGATTTTTTTTATGGTTTTCACAAGACTTAGTACTCCTTTGCCAAGACATAAGCCTTTGATGCTTGACTCATTTTCCAGGCATCCTGTAGTTTGTTCTGTTTGTCTGGCTCATCTGTCAAGAATTTGGTTAAATTGGGTCTCTAAATTTTTGTACTTTCTGCCACAGAATTCATAATTTCATAAGGGACAAACCAGACACCGCTACGAATTGGGAACAATATTTTAGGCATTCATAGGTTTATTCTGTTTGCTATTTCCAGTGCACCTCCTCTTTCTCTTAAACCGAATGCCCACTACGAGCAGGTAATGACTGCGTTTGGTGGGAAAGGATACTTTGTTCGTACTCCTGACGAGCTACAACTTGCGCTAAAACAAAGTCTAGCCGAAAAGAGGGTGCCATCGCTTATCAATGTCATGATTGATCCGCAGTCAGACAGAAAGAAACAGGTAACTTTTTACTATTTTGGGATGACTTACAATTTGATACAATATTTCTTCATATTTCTAAGAAGAAAAAGGGGAGATTATGTGTGTAAGAAGCAGTGCAGACATTAGCAACCTAAGCATGCGGCTTGTCCAGTCCCAGTTTAATCTAAAACGGTGCTCTGATTACGTCTGCACAATGTATATAAGACTCCACGGCCATCCCATACACACAAAATGTTAAACAGAAAAGTTTGAAACAAGACTGTAGTTATCTAAATTCATGGCTACCAAACGCTGGGCTCTTCTTCCACCACACTGCTCCCAAGCTCAGTGCTAGGAATAATGTATCCAAAACAATCCATGCTTTAGCAGAAGTACGAGCACATTGAAGGACCAAACTTCAAATGGGACAATGCTGTTCCATTTCTTTAAATTGCAGCTTTTATGGGAACATTTAAAGTAAATGTTCCACATTCCAAGGAGGGGGCATAACAAAAGCAAATTAAAATAAACAGGAATATAAACATCTAATTGCAGACATGCATTCTTCATAGGTACAACCAACTCAAACACTAAACACACAAGCAGGGCTGTCTTAACGCATGGACACACTTGGCAGTTGCTCGGAGGCCCCACAAGCACAGGAGCCCCACTGGCTTGCCAACTTTTCAGTATATTATTCCGGGAGATTTATTTAGAACCTTTAAACCGTCTTTATTAAAACTTCTAGGTGGACTTATCACCTCAATATCAGCTGTTATCTATACATGCTATCTTGCTGTAGTGGGAAAGTAATACACACATACTAATTATACATAAAGACAAAATCAACCCACAACATTTTTTGAAGCTGTAAAGCTATAATAATTTTTAAAAATCCATATCAGTTGCTTCCACCTGCCACTTTAAAAACTTGGTTTAACTCTCTGGCAATCTTTTGCCATAAATATATGGTAGTGTTATCTTCCTTGTGTAAATTCCAGTATTCATTTACTTGTTCTGATGTATTTTTTTCTTTCAGGAGTTCCACTGGCTGACCCGTTCCAATTTATGATTGACAAAGTCATATCTGCAGGCCCAGAAGATTGTATTTTAGATTTGAAATTATCCAAACCCTCCATAATTAATATAAAATGTTGAAGCTTTCCTGCTTTTGTTTTCCAAACACCAGACTTGCCTTCTTCTGAGTACAATGTTAATAATAATAATAATAATAATAATGGAAAATATGTCTAACAATTAATTTCAAATGTTGTTCTCTAAGCTGATGCTTTAAATGCTGATAATTATTGAATAAATGTGTAATTTATTTAACAAATTACTCTTTTTGTGATTTTATTCTTGATAATAAAAACAAACCATGTAGATAGCATGTAATAATGTGGTAAGGAAAAAAAAAGAAAGGTATGTTTTGGTTGGTGAACATAGGGTGTTGTCCATGAGAATCCTGGGAGTATCAACTTGTGATAGGCCTCCAAGGAGAGATGGATGTCCACAGATGCGTTGACCTCACAATGTAAGAAAACTTAAAAGGACCACTAAAGCCACCCAGGTCACTTTACCTCAATGAAGTGGTCTGGGTGAGGTGCTGCTTTAGCTTTAACCCTGCAATGTGCAGTTTTTAGAAACCGCAATGTTTACATTGCCGTATTAGGTCCACCTATAGACGATGTCATACTGACAGCCACTGCACCTCCGCAAAAATAACCAAGTAAAACTCAGTCATGTGATGCGGAAGCACTCATAGGAATGCATTGATACAGTGTTTTCCTATGTGGAAGCTAGGATGCGTGTGCATCAGGTCCTCAATGCTCCTCCATGAGTAGCATTGGCTTGGGCTATGCCTCCTCAATGATGTTGCAGATGGTGGAGAGGTAAGCAGCGCCATTTGAGCCTCGTGGCTGGAAAACTAAGTAAAACGTTTTGTTTGCAAAACCAAAAAGGTAAAGAGAATAATAGTAAATGTACATGAGTTCGAGAAATGGGTATAAGCCATGATGACTGTCCTTGTATTCCTGCTGGTCCTTTTTTAATATATTTATTTCTATTTTTGCACGAATGGGGGAAGGGACTAAGGACCAAGCACCAAAAGATAAAGTGAACCAACGACCATTTTACAACAAAGCTTAAAAATCAAAAAACTAAATAAGGTTGCATAACCACATTTGGCTTGCAGGGTGGCCAAATCTGACTGGGTTATTCCATAAAGTCCGAACAGTCAAGTTGAAGTGAGACTTGGCAGTCAGTCTGGTTGGTTGGCATATATTAGTTGGTTCTAGGTTTTTTCTTTTTCTTTTTTCCTTCGGGCATTATTTTTTATTGGCCCTTCCTCACTCTAAAGTATGTAGGGGGGGTCGGTAGGGCTGATTAAGTGGGGTGGCCAAGCGGGGTGGCTTTGGGATTGGGAGGTGGTGCCATGCCACTGTTTGAGCGGGATGGAAAATGGCATGCCCAGTGCTAGTTTTAATTTTTTTTAATAAATATGCCCTAGGGAGAATAAGGACTTTTTATTTCATTATAAGTATTATTTTTTTATGTGGTGGCTGGTTAGCAAGAGCTAGCCAACCACAACCTAATTTAACTACGGTATTTGCCTTGCAGGCTGCTAGCACAAGCTTTATGAATATTCTAAATCCTATCCTTTGTAGGACAACGATTTGGACAACGAATGCATCTGGGCGGTTGTTGCAGATATGCTAAGGCCAGCCGAATCCCGACCATATTTGCTTTAGTAAGTATGATGATTATCACTGCTGTCATAATATGGTAATTTTTACCAGATTTTGTTGACCTTGACAAAGTCTAGTGTTCGGTGAATAACCTCTTTCAGACCCCACAATTCTCCCTCTTATGGTGGGGGTGAGGGGAGAAACCCAGTTGTGACACATAGGGTGTCTCTATTGCATGGTTTAATGTGTATCTTTTACCGCAGTACTAAACATAGCTCACTTTGGTCGCTGCACAAAGCAAATAATTTGAGTCCATTACAATTGACATCATTACCTGTATTGACCCTGCTGGTGATGAAAGACAGGATATACTTGGCAAGGATGCTTAGGGGTCATTTATTCATCAAGAAAATGTACAGCCTAAATATTTTAACAGGTTAAAGAAACTGTTCCCAAATTGTGTGCCTCGGTGCCCCACGTGCACTCAGGGGTGCCGTCGAATATTTTCCCGGTGCTATAATTATAGCACCAGGGAAACATTACTGCTCAACAGGGACCCGGTTGAGTGCACGGTCCTTTAAGACCACGACCCAGGCCCCTGTAATGTCGGCCGGCTGGGAGGAAGTGATAGCCTGTCATTTCCTCCCAGCATCCTGCAGGGAGACAGCGCGGTAGGGAGAGGAGGCTGCCGCAGCGTGAGGGGAGAGGAGCATGAAGAGCTCCAGACCCCTCACTCCCACAGCAGCAGGACTCCAAGCCACCCTCCTGGCATGTAAGGTTAGCTAACAGGAGGGTGAGCATGTTTGAGAGTGTTTGTGTGTCTGTGTCAGGGTGTGCACTCACACATATGTGCATGTGTGTCAGGGTGTGTGTTTTTATGTCAGTGTGTATCTGTGTCATGGTGTGGGCAGGTATCAATGTATGTGTATGTGTCTATATGAATTTGTGTATGTCGGTTTATTTAGATGCATCTGTGTGTTAATGTGCATGAATATCTGTGTGTGTATGTATATACATCCAAGCAGTCCAACGCCAGCACAACATAAGAGCACACTCCTGCAATCTAACACAAATATTACATACAAATACTTCACACAAATGTACATCCACATTTTAAAGTGAACAATACATTTAGACACACCCCTGCAATCAAACATCACATACAAATACATCCCTGTATTAAAGCACAATAAATGTATACAAGCACCCCTTCAAACACCAACACTGTACATTACACTATAGAGCCAGTACATGCAGCAGCACTGTACAGATATACAACCTAGCAATTTTGACTTGGGGTGCCTTGGAAAAATACTGAAATATTAAGGGCTCCTTGAACCTAAAAAGTAACCACTGGGTTAAAGAGTTGCTGTAGGATACAGGAACCCATGATCATGTACGAAATAGTTTTGTAGACTTGTTAGTATTTTTGGATAACTGATCTGTGATCCCTGCTTCATCAGTCTTATGAATTCTGGCTCTACCTTGCAGCACTGATGTATAAGTCATATTGAAAACTGCAGTGTTGAAAATAAATACTCTGAAAAGATTGTAGCTATTCCTGTACAGTTAATGGCTAACCACTAGAGGTCAATATTTACCTGTACAAGTACTATTCAAGCCCAGGTACTTTTTTTTTCTTCTTCAAGAAATTGATTTGTCAATGAGTATATATATTTTTTTGCATGCTCACTGATCAATCGCATTGCAATACTAGTAAGTGAGCTAAGAACACTGTGGAAAATGAAGAAGAATATTGATTGACAGGCTAGTATAACTAGTGATTACTGTTATACTGATAGATGTGCCCCATTAGTTTGATTACATGCCTAATTGAAAATAAGGAAAATTGCTTCATACTTACCATAATTTTATTTTCCTGACCATTATTCATGGCAGCATTTACTCATGGGTTAGCTCCTCACCTCACAGCAGAAAGGACAGGAAATAGAACTCTGAAACTGGTATAAATAGATCCTCCCCCTTCCCATCAGGCAGTCTTTGTAATTAGCTTCACAATTCTTATAATATATGGGTGGGAACGTAATGCTGCCATGTATAATGATCAGGAAAAGAAAATTATGGTAAGTATGAAACAATTTTCCATATTCTTGACCAAACATGGCAACATTTACTTGGGAATACCAAAGCAGTATACATAGAGGGAGGGGCAGAGTTCAAATACAGCCAATAGTTATAGAAACCAATATTTAGCTGCACAAGCCTAATACAGCCAAACAAGTAATCAATTGGATATTGCCATAATATCTGCTCAGACAAGTCATTGTACTCCAGAGTCTGCTCGTCAGTAAGCCCATGGTATTCAAAGATAGGGGAGAGCCTATCCTAGGTGTTTGCTTTGACTCAAACTTCTAATTCACCCTCATGTTCAATCTATCACCAAATCCTGCCGCTTCCATCTCAAAAACATTGCATGCATTCGCCCCTACTTAATGCCAGATGTGGCTATGGTTCTGGTCCATGCCGCTGTCCTCTCTGCCTTGACTACTATAATCCGCTTATAAGTGGTCTTATGTGCTCCCAACTTGCGCTGTTACAGTCTATAACGAATGTTGTGGCGAAGTTAATCTTCCTGTTCTTCCACACCTCACCCCTCTGTCAGTCCCTACATTGGCTTCCCGTACGATATAGTGATCAATTTAAAATCCTGGTTCTTACTTTCAAATTTCTACATAATGCTGCTCCTACCTATCTATCCTCCCTTATACAGAGAGTAGGCTCCTACTCTCTGCCGAAGACTTAGTCTATCTTCTGTTCATACTCCTACCTCTGATGCTAGCCTTTAAGACTTCTCTAGAGTTGCACCGTTCTTATGGAGCTCCCTTCCCTGCTCCATCAGCCGCTCACCCAGTCTCCACTCCTTCAAAAATGATTAAAAACGTACTTCTTCACAAAAACATATCAATTAAACTTTTAATAGCTCCCAACTGATTCCTCTCCTGCAACTGTCATTACTTCTCTAATACTATCCTTACCTTTTGTGTCACTTTACCCCACTCCCTCTAGCATGTAAGCTCATGGAGTAGGGCCCTCAACCCAGGGCTGGCCCAAGACATTGTGCTTTATTAAGCTAAAGTTGTTTTTGTGACTATAGTGTCCCTTTAATTATAAGGGAAAGCTGATCAACAACATCAGGACATTAAAAGATTAAAATACTGTAAAAAGTACAAATTATGTCCAGTGGTGTACCTAAAGCGGCCGCATACCTTCAGGGCCGACGCACAACCGCACCGACCAGAGACACACGGGCGCCAGCAGTAGGGGAGCGCATAGCACAGTGCTCCCCTGTTGCTGGTCACTGTATGTAGCATGGCAGAGCGGTCTGCGGTCTGACAGGAAGTGCTCACTGAGAAAGCACTTAGTGTTAGATGGGTATGGCGGTCCACACAGCCACGCTACATGGAGGTGAGGGGGTTTGGGGAGGAGACATACAGAGGTGCTGGAATGAGAAAATGAGACACATGGAGGGGCTGCTGTGGAAGGAGACACATAGATGGGGCTTGTGGACTAAAGGAGATACATTGAGGGGCTTCCGGAGAAAAAGAGACACCTGGAAGGGCTTGGGGACAAAAGGAGATATATGCAAGGGTTGAGGGGGAAAGGAGACACATGGAGGGGATGGGTGGAGGAAAGGAGACAAATGGATTGGGCTGCGGGGGAAAAGAGACACAGAGTGCCTAGAGGGAAGGAAAGGAGACACATGGGGTGAAAGGAGACACATAGAGGGGCTGGTGGAAGAAAGGAGACAAATTGGGAGTTCTGGGGGAGGAAAGGAGACAAATTGGGAGTTCTGGGGAAGGAAAGGAGACACATTGGGAGGCTGGGGGAGGAAAGGAGACACATTGGAAGGCTGGGGGAGAATGAGACATGGAGGAGCTAACAGGGGAATGAGACATGTGGGAGATGAGACACATGGAGGAGCTGGGGAGAATGAGATACATGGAGGAGCTGTGGGGAGAAAGAGAATGGGCGGGGGCCCGAGACAATTTTTCCACCGGGCCTGGTGGTTTCTAGTTTCATAGTCAATAAGATTAGATACGATTGATCGATATAAGCAGATATTATGTAATAGGCAGGACATCAATAAAAAAGTTTAGCCAATGGCAAAGGTCAATGTGTATTTGCGCAGTAGATTATTTGCAGACTACAGGAGTAGTGTATTTGCAGAGCAGAATCTTGCAATAATTAAAAATCATGACTAAAGTTGTAACTTGGTAAAATAAACAGCTAGTTTTCACAACTTTTAAATCAAAGGCACGTTTACCTTGGCAATGTAAAGCAGACCAATGAAAAACAGTCAGGTAGATGCTTCAGAGAGTTAACTGTTCATGGGAGTCAATAATTTGCCCAAGCTGTACACCTGCAATCAAGATCCACTAATATGTGTACTGTAATTATCAATATATACCAAGGTTAGAAGGACACTATAGTCACCAAAACAACTTTGGCGTATAGATCATGCCCCTGCAGTCTCTCTGCTCAGTTTTCTTCCATTTAGGAGCATCAGATAGGACTGACCCAGCTAAGGCAGGAAAGTTGGCCACTATATAGAGTGGTAATTTTACTAAATGAGCTATTTTGACAAATTGTTTTTTTCTTTTCCTTTGTTGTTGTTTTTTTTCTCTTTTCAATTTGTGGAATTGTGGAAAATGTCTCAAATGTGTCATGGTTTTTTACTCCTACCTTCCCTGCAGGGCATGGTGTAACTAGCAACAATACATTTTTTAACAGTTGCAAAATATAATGTCAAGTCAGCCATTCTGCCTTATTGTGACTTTTTCTTAAAATTGTTAAAGCAGATCTGCCTCTTTTTAGTATTTCACTAAGATACAATCTTTATGAAATACTGATTAAGACTACGTTGGAATTTTACTGAAATCCAAAGATATCTCTACTTTGTCTCATGGTAAAGCCTGAGGTTGACAAAAAGAGGAGCTCCTCTGTTAACTTTTGACCAATTGCAGCAGCTGTCACAAATGACAGCTGTGGGATTCAGGCGTTGTCCATGAGGATCTCCATGGTTTTGAGTGTTGTACTCTCATGCATACGCGAGAGTACAGCACTGACGTGGTTCCTGGCAGCTGAAGCTCCATTAGTCAAAGAGGACCTTCATCATGAAAATGATGGTGGCTGCGAGGATCAACTTACCTTCCCTGCACCCCACGGCCACTGGACCCTTAACAGATCCGTTTCGGGGGTCTTTGCGAAATATGCAATGACCCTCGAAATTGACAGATCCACTTTAAGGTGAATGAGCACAGCATCAGGACACTATGACAATTTCCATTTAAATGGTAAATTGGTAGAGGTTTATTACTTAAAGGAGCACTATAGGGTCAGAAACACAAACATGTATTCCTGACCCTATACTGTTAAAACCACCATCTAGCCCCCCCTGGCCTCCCTAAATATAGTAAAATCTTACTTGTATTCAAGTCTGGAGCTGCTAATTCTGACCTGCCCCGATCTGCTGACGTCATCACAACTGGTGGCCTGATCCAATCACAATGCTTCCCCATAGGATTGGCTGAGACTGACAAAGAAGCAGATCAGGGGCAGAGCCAGCACAATTCAAACACAGCCCTGGCCAATCAGCATCTCCTCATAGAGATGAATTGAATCAATGAATCTCTATGAGGAAAGTTCAGTGTCTGCATGCAGAGGGAGGAGATACTGAATGTTTGGATGCATTTTAGGCAGCCATGACCCAGGAAGGATCTCTAACAGCCATCTGAGAAGTGGCCAGTGAAGTTATCACTAGGCTGTAATGTAAACACTGCATTTTCTCTGAAAAGACAGTGTTTACAGCAAAAGGCCTGAAGGTAATGATTCTACTCACCAGAACAAATTCAATAAGTTGTAGTTGTTCCGGTAACTATAGTGTCCCTTTAAATGGACATGCATAGAAAAAGTAGCATTTTAGTTGCCCCTTGATCAATTTATGTAACTCAGGCTGAAAGTGTGTTCTGACAGCGATGAGCTCTTAAACCAATCAGAAGAAAGGTCTATATTATCCTCACAGTTTCTGCAGCGAGAGATCTTCATTATTTGATTTAAACTAAAAAGACACACTAAGGATCCAGGAACCTACCTACAGGAAATAATGTGTGGCCTAGTCGATCTTCATCTTGCAGGATTATGTTAAGGGGAAAAAAATGGCATGTTTCTTAAAAGGTGAATCCTATTTTACCCATAAGATTTGTATTACAAAAATGCTAAAGTACGGGAGGGAGCCTGTCGTGTATAAGCTTGCCAGGTACTGTATATTGTAAGAAGTCTTATGAAAGCATTGCGTGCCGCAAACTCTTTTCCAAAGCCCACTGTGCTGCGTTCACATTAATTCCGAGCATCTAATTGACAATGATAATGTAGTTATACTTGCTTATTTATTCCACTCTATCACAAGCCATGTGTTCAGGCTACCCATTGAAATGCATATATTAATAAAGGGATGCAAGTTGAGGACATAGAACATGTACCACCTATTTAATGCCTATCTATCTATGATGGATGGGTGGGTTGATACATAGATCACTTAAAATTTAATAATAGTAAATTGAAATCGACATGGCATTTTTCAGATATAAATTGTCATGGTGTGACTTTAGGTAATTAAGGGGAATTTTATTGGTTTAAACTAGCTGAAAAGCATTTGCACGCAAGTCAAAAAAGTACCGTGGTTATACTGACCAATAAAAGGAGAGTAAAACGCCTTCAAAATGTCCCAACTTTGTAGAAACATGCCCTTATGATATTACTTTACTTTTTTTATTCATAAGACTTTTATTGGAATTTCAAGTGTAGAACACTCTAGACCAGGGGTAGGCAACCTTCAGCACTTCAGATGTTTTGGACTACATATCACTTAATGCTTGCAGAGCATCATGGGAGGTGTAGTCCACAACATCTGGAGTGCCAAAGGTTGCCTACCCTTGCTCTATCTAGACAATACCAAGCTGAAATATAAATTCATGCATATGGCAATTGTAGCTCAAAGCAGCACTTTCACTTTGCAGGATTTGTTCTTAAATGAAACCTTTTTTTGTCCACCTATTTCCTCTTCTTTTTACTTTTGTGAATTTCAATTTAGATCTTGTACAATAGAAAAAGTAGCGACTACTTTCTCTCTCTGGGAGTGCGTTCTTCGGCGATCTTTGGCAGGGGGCGGAACTGAAGCGAACTTGCATTACAGTTTCTAAGCATATTTACCCACAATCCATCTGCTCATCACAGAAGGGCAAACTGCAGACATCCTGAACAGAGGAGAACAAAATGGAGGTATCCAAGTACATAGATCCGGCAAAATGAAAAAAAGATAATAAATATAAACTAGAAAAGCTACAATTTCTGGGGAAATTGTGTGAAGTGTTCTTGCCTCCACCAGTAGTCTACAACTGGAGTGGGCAGAGTAACTGTTATCATTTATATAGCACATTTAATTGCAACGTTGTTGCACAGTTACATTAACCCCTTCACACGGTCTGAGTTACTTACCTGATCGCCGTCGTTCCCCCGGCGGCGATCAGCGTTGCTCCGGTTGTGGGGAGACTGCCTGCAGCCCAGACAGTCTCCCCACACTGAATTAGGACCCCTGTGGCCATGTGATCGCTCAACAGAGCGATCACATGGTCACAATAGGTGTCCATGTGTCTGTCTGCAGGGGGACTGTCTGTACTGACAGGCAGTCTCCCTGCTAGTGTAAAATCAAAAAAAAATAATAATTATATATGTGTATATATGATATATAGACATATATTATATCTATATAATATATGTCTATATATCATATATATAATGCCATACTAAGTGTATTTTTATATTAATATGTACTTATATTGATATAAAAATACACTTATAATTAAATTACACACGTATATATATAATATATAATAACTATATATATTGTGTATATATATATATTATTATAAAATATAAATAATAAGTAATTTAAATTAAATATTTTTTTTAAAATAATAATAATTTTTTTAAATTATATATCTATATGAAATTTTATTCTAACTGTATTTTAAAATGAATATATATATATTTATATCAAAATACACTTAGAATGAATTTGTATATATATCTATGTATATATAAATAAATAAAAATAATACGAAATATACATATGTCCATATACAAAATTACATAAATAATTATATAAATATACACGTAGACTTCAAATATATAAATATGCATATATATTTAAATTCTACGTGCGTATTTATGTAATATTTTTACATAATTCAGTAATTTTATAGATTGCAATTTGAGGGACCTGCCTGCCAACCCAGGCCGAAATTTCAGAGAATTTAATTTGCTAGCACTGTATTTTACCCTGTAACGTTCTACGACACCCTAAAACCTGTACATGGGGGGTACTGTTTTACTCGGGAGACTTCGCTGAACACAAATATTAGTGATTCAAAACAGTAAAACATATCACAGCGATTATATTGTCAGTGAAAATGACTTTTTTTGCATTTTTCACACACAAACAGCACTTTTACTGATGATATAATTGTTGTGATACGTTTTCCAGTTTTTAAACACTAATATTTGTGTTCAGCGATGTCTCCCGAGTAAAACAGTACCCCCCATGTACAGGTTTTATAGCATTTTTGAAAGTTACAAGGTCAAATATATGGGTCAAATATTTTTACATTGAAAATGGCCAGGTTGGTTACGTTGCCTTTGAGAGCGTATGGTAGCCCAGGAATGAGAATTACCCCCATGATGGCATACCATTTGCAAAAGAAGACAACCCAAGGTATTGCAAATGGGGTATGTCCAGTCTTTTTTAGTAACCACTTGGTCACAAACACTGGCCAAAATTAGCGTTCAATTTAGTTTTTTTACTTTTTTCACACACAAACAAATATGAATGCTTACTTTGGCCAGTGTTTTCGACTAAGTGGCTACTAAAAAAGACTGGACATACCCCATATTGAATACCCTGGGTTGTCTACTTTAAAAAAAATATGTACATGTGGGGTGTTATTCAGAGATTTATGACAGATAATAGTGTTACAATGTCACTATTGATAAATTTAAAAATGTATGTTTTGAAACCACAATATCCTACTTGTACCTATAGCCCTATAACATGCAAAAAAAAGCAAAAAAGCACGTAAACACTGGGTATTTTTAAACTCAGGACAAAATTTTGAATCTATTTAGCAGTTTTTTTCATTCGCTTTTATAGATGAGTAAAAGATTTTTCAAGTAAAAGTCAAAAAACATGTATTTTTTTCAATTTTTCATCATATTTTTTTATTTTTTAAATTTAAATTAAAATACATGAGATTATATAAATAATGGTATGTAAAGAAAGCCCCTTTTGTCCTGAAAAAAACAATATATAATTTGTATGGGAACAGTAAATGAGAAAGCGGAAAATTACAGCCAAACACAAACACCACAAAAGTATGAATATGCTTGGTCGCAAATGTACATCGCCGCAAAAACAGTTCAGTCCTTAAGGGGTTAAACCATACATTTATAAAAACATTAGCAGGTGTTCAAAAGGCCCTGTCTATGACATCACTTGCTGCTGCAGCCTGGCACAGGTCAGAGTATTTTGTCGTTGCCATCTTCAAACGGTCGTATTTTAAAAACTATAAATCCTACAGCGAAGAGCTTTATATTGTGAGAATCACAAGACCCAGACTTACATTTTGATGCATAGTATGTCTCTGAAGTATTAAAAATTAAGGCACAGTCGCAGTTTAGAAATTGCACTTCAAATTTGAGCTTTGTAGAGTGAAGTTTCAATGAATGTCAAATGATTATATTGTGAAAACTATCAGGACTATGGCTTAGCAATTGACCTGTTTAGTGGCAGCACGGATAGCTGAACGTTTTGATATAAGATTTGTGTAGGTGGGCCTGAAAATAAGGGAGTGGTGGCAGTTTAGAAATCATGTCCTGATTTTTCAGCTTTTGCCAGCTCCCACTCTAGCTTTGCCATTCATTCCTATGGGACAAATTGCGCCACAAGAACGATGATATTCTGTGAAACGTTCCATAAAGTAATAGCAATCCGATCGGGAACAATCTGCACGGTTTGGTAAATTTTTGTCTATGTAGTGTAAAAATTGTGGGAGGAGTTAGGGTGGCAAATTTGGCTATAATAAGAATAAGAATAATATATATGTGAGATAACATTAAGTGGTCTTGCTATGCAAGAACACTTAATAAAAGCAAGCAGCAAGTAGGAAGTATTAAGTTACATAGGGAAAGAAGAACTGAAAGAAAATAACCATACCAGTACTGCTCTCAGTGTCTTAATGTGTGTCCATTTTTTTTATCCTATAAATCCTTGCTTTCTAAGAGTCTGTGTTTGCTGTGTGGTTGTAAGTGTGGCAGAGAATTACAGAATACCCCCCTTTTCCCCCCCCAAAAATAAAAAAACTAATGGGTTTATTCAGGGATATGGTTACTAAATAGCAAATTGCAGTGAACTTAATGAATTTGAAAATTTAAGATTAATTAACCAATTCATACCTAAAATTAATTAAGTTGAAAAAATGTGTCAAATCGGCTGTTTAGTCAAAAACTGCAATTTCGTTTTTTTCATTCACTACAGTTCATTGTTGGGAGGTATGAAGAAAACATTCACAGAAGTTTAAATGTTATGGATACAGTCTCCCTAATACAATAATAATGCACCATGTAAGGTATATACTTGGTTCTAAGGTCCAGTTTCTTTTAAAAGCACATTCAATATATACCTTTCAAGTTTGCCTCAACGTTTGCAGTGCAGCTTCTCTCTGTATGAATACCCATCTGTTTCCAAGTACTTAGTAAGTGATCCTTCTGTTGATTGTGACATCACAAGATTCCCGACTGTGACATCACAACATTCTGAGCTGAGCCGATTGTCTTCAAATCTCTTTCACAGCCTGGAATAGTATGTCTTCATTACAGACCAGATAGATGGCACTATGATAAATACCCGACGAGGATCAACAGCAGAAAAGGCACCAAAATATGCAAGGGGTATTCCTTCAAATAGGTATGTTATTTTACAGAGAGAGCAAGCCTTATTACAAATACCCCAGGCCCCAAAAAAACTTTAATATAGTGCAGCAAACATAATGATGCCCTAAACCCTTAAAGTTACAGAATTGACCCCTTACTACTGCCCCTGCTTGTACCAAATGTAATAGTATCTGTACCTGTCTAGTGTTATCTTGATGTCTACGCCTGATATTGCCCCCTTTTTTGGAAAAAAATACCGGCCATTCTAATTTGCATAATTAATTATATATGCGTGACATCACAGGGCACAGCGTACATAAAAGAATGAGAACATTTGGAAGTAGAAAATTCCCAAATTTACTAATAAACTACTTACAATGTTTGTACTTTGTCTGACTGTGTGTATAGCATTGTAAATGTGAGGCAGTATGTGTATGTACTGTCTGTATGAGGTTGTGTGTCGATGTCTAAATGTGTCATTGTCTATATACTTTGAGTGTGTGTCTACAATGTCTGTGTATGTTATTGTGTGTTTATATAGTATATTTCAATGTGTGTACAGGACCGGATTAACACAGGGGCTGATGCAGCTCCAGGCCCAGGCCCAGGCTCATGGAAAAGGCCCATAAAAAAATAAAAAAATAAAAATATATATTTTTACACACTACTCTTAGGTTTGCCACATGACTGGTATTTTAAGGCACAGCCGGTATTTGAGGCTGCCTGGCCTTGACTGTATTGCAGTAATACCGGTGATGTAGAATTATTAAAATCTTTATTAGAACCTGTATTGAATTATTGTACTAACTCCATTTTAATCTCACACTGTGACAGAACTCTCCATTTTGTTCACCTTACATGACAGTATTCAATATAATGAATAAGAGATTGTATTTTCTCTCTCTAAGGACATAACTAGCCCCGGAGTTAGCGGATCTCCGTTGACTTGCAACATAGTATAATCCAAGGCCAGGAGAACAGCGACTAAATGAAATGTTTTATTCATAAAAGAACCTTGGAACAGACCACGAGACTGACATCACTAACTACGTAAAATGATGCCCAAGCCCCCCCTTTCCACCGAGTAAGCCTCGTGCTAAAGAGCAATGGCGACGACATCCCATGATGGGAGGGTGCCTCACTAGTCACTCAAATCTCTGAGCCAATTAATAATATTAATGGGTGGACACTGACATAGCCACTTAACATTTAACCCAATTAATGATGTTTATTTGTTATTATCTGATATTCAATGATGATGTCATTTTGCATATAAAAAGGCCTGCGTGCCCGCTTTTTAACTAGATGCTAATAAATTTCCTGAAGTGTTTTTAACCTGAACTGCATGTGTCAGTGTGAACTTACTTCTGCGTATACGCAATTTATTCATCTCAGATTTGGACAGGAACAGATAGACTTTTAAACATTTTTGTTTATTTCTAAATTAATCTACATCAATCTGGCGTCCATCCAACGTGGGGCATCGGGCTATGGCCTCCGGCCGGTAAGCCGTCCTAAGGAAGACGCTGTTGGACGGAGGAATCAGGGGGGAAGGAAGAGAGACTGATCACCTCTGAGTACACGGTAGAGACTTCTGCAGGAGCCACCGGTATGTTCCAGCCCCTTTGATTGACCCGTCCACGTGTCTGTGACTGCTTCCCGGGAGGGCATCAAAGACAGGTAATATCTTGCCCGGTGTCTTGTTACCCATTTGTTTACCTGCATTTAGTCTATCTGTTGCCTGGGTGTGCTAGTGGTATATGTTTTGTTCTTTCCCTCTTTAGAGATAAAGGGGGGTGGACCCGTGGGTGGTTGCCTGGGGGTCTTCTGTTGCCTGTTTTTACCCCTTTTTAGGAGTCACTTGGCCCAGACTGTTGGGAAAAAGGGGGGGGTGGACCTGTGGGGATTTTCCAAAGGGGTCCTGTTTTCCTGTTTACTTCTTTTAGGTACTGTCTAGCTAACAGTAGTAAGGAAAAAGAAGGGTTGGGGGATCTGTGGAGGGGACTTGCCTCCTGGGGTTTCCCGGTTACGTCACTTTGATATTCTAGCTAGCCTCATTGTGTACGTTGCTCTGCTTGCAGAGGTTATGGTACCCTCCAGCTTCGAGCGCTGAGGCTGGTGGCATTCCAATTTATTTGTGGTGTGTGGATTCGGGCAGGCATTGTTGTCTCCATCACCACGGGGTAGTGTGACTTGTGGGTGGGTCCATAGGGAGCACTACGGGAGTGAGGATAGAGGTGGCCACACTTAGTGGACTGCTGTAACAAGGGAGGCATATGGATTTCGGGCCGGTGTTAGTCGTTATCCTTGGCCGCTGGTAGTGAAACTTACGAAAGTTGTTCTCCGAGCGGGGACACTACGAGATTGAGGGAGGTGGTCTTGGTGGCCACAAGAGTAAAGGAAAGGGATTACTGTTGATGCATGCACTGTATTTCAATTGAAATGTTGTATTAAATGTTGTCTTAAGTGTGGAGTCATTCAAACTCCTGGGTCTGTCTCTACTTTCACTGTTTACTTTTCCTCTACTTCCTGTACTATTTACACTATCCACTCCTATTTCTCTTGAAAGAGAAGTGATTGGTCACACACTTCTCACCCCGCTCCAATCCGTGGTTACCATCGAGGGTACACGGATTCAGTGACTGGTCTACGTTTTGGGAAGACGCACTGGGAGGGACCCACCCTTCCTAGTGGCAGTCGAGCATTGTAGACGTTCTGTTTCATTTTCCTTTACCTATACTTGGGACGCTTTGTATAGGGGGATATGGGACAGGAAACGAGTAAGCCCGCTAGGGGCTGGCTCGCGTGTGATTTAGTTGAAGATAGAGAAGGTGAAGAACTGGTTAAAAATGTTGCAAAGATTGCTAAAGTGTGTAAAATTGCTGTGCCTTCATGTGGTAGATTACAGCCAGAAAGCTGGCGTAGATTACTGACAGAGAAGAAAGGCAAGCTTACAGATAATGATTTATTGCGTACTGCTGAAGCATGGTACAGAGTAGAAAGGCTATCCAGCAGGAGGGTTGGGTAGAGGAAGAGATAAATCATAAAGGGTTAAGAACTGTATGTATATCATAATAATTGTGTTACTGGGAAGTTATCCCAGCCAGTGCCCTGTCGGGGGTTCCAGGAGGTGACCACTTCCATCATCCTGTCAGTAATGACCGAAATGTAGCTGACCATGGTCACCATCCCACCCCAATCTTAAAACGCTGTGGGGTTTTTGTATTTTGTGTTAGCCATTACCCTGGTAGAGGGTGGGGGTTTAAATGAAATATTGTGTTTTTGCTTTGTAATGTAATTGTCCTTCTGTCTTGTTACTGTACAGCGTTGACATGGTTAAATTCGTGCTGGCAGGCAGTCTCTCTCTTGTTCCACTCAAATCCCCCTCTGCTAAAACACCCCCCCCTCCCCTCGCTTCTGTGAGACGCGGGGGGGAGGGGGCGGAGGGGGGTGGTGACATGCTTGCGATTTAGGTCTGTCTCTTCGGTGTTCTGTAGAGTTATTCAGAAGCTACTGATAAGATTTTAGCAATGGAATTTTTGCTAGAAAATATTCTAATTGTGTATTTTGTTATCTCAATAGAAATTGATAGGATGGTTAGGGAGTGAATCTGATGCAGGAATAGAAGTTATTAAGTTAGTATATGTTTCTAGAGACAGCTTTGTGGGCTGTTAGATGTATAATATTCACAACTGTCTTATTTAATCCGTCAAGTCTGTCCACAGTTCAGATTTTCATTTTGCCGAACAGAATGTTACTTCCCATGAAACCCACGCCTCCAGAGAGACTTAGTATGCCCTAAAGGAAAATGGCCCCTAGAACAAAAGAAGGTTGTCCTTAAGTGCCTTCACTCTGCCCTTAGTGAGGTCATATCTGCCCATATATCTTGTCAGTTCTGGCCATCCATGGCTGACGAGATCTACTCCTATCATGCTCATCCTATCTTAAGACATGCTGTCTTCCTTAAATTCCCACATATTATGAACAAGAAAGTTACAATTACTAGAATAATCCTGCTAATGTTTCCCTATATCAGAAAAGTGTCTGTGACAAGTGATGGTTAATATGTAGAAAGGATATATATATACCGATTCACGTGTTAAGTAACAATATGTTTTAACTTTGTGTACAAAAAATTGATAACATGCTAGAAGAAGGGTTACTAAAAGAAATTTCTAATAAACAAAGATTTCTTGAACAAATGGTAATACAATTAAAGATTGGTCTCAAGATGTTTTGATCTAATTGAAAAAGAACCAGAAAACATTATGAGCCTAACTACTAACAAATGGATAAGGGGGGAGTGTGTTCCAATCTGTCTTTATTGGATAATGTTAACCACCAAGATTAAAGACTGACTAACATATTTTTTTTAATGTAAGCCCAGATATTTTATTATTATATATGCATAGAAGTCGAGACTTTGGGCATTATAGTGTATTGATTCTAGATCTGTTACTAGCAGCAAGTGCTTAGCCTTATGCCTATCCCACGCATGCTTAAACACTCCTTTACTGTGTTAACCTCTATCACTTCAGCTGGAAGGCTATTCCATGCATCCACTACCCTCTCAGTAATGTAATACTTCCTGATAGTATTTTTATTTAAACCTTTGTCCCTCTATTTTTGAGACTATGTCCTCTTGTTATGGTAGTTTTCCTTCTTTTAAATATAGACTCCACTTTAACTGTGTTGATTCCCTTTGTGTATTTAAATGCTTTTATCATATTTCCCCTGTCTCGTCTTTCCACTAGGCTATACATGATAAGATCCTTTAACCTTTCCTGGTAAGTTTTATCCTACAATCCATGAACCAGTTTAGCAGCCCTTCTTTGAACTTTCTCTAAGGTATCCATGTCCTTCTAAGGATATGGTCTCCAGTACTGTATACAGTACTCCAAGTGAGGTCAATGGCATGAGCACTTCCCTCTTCCTACTGCTAATACCTCTCCCTATGCAACCAAGCATTCTGCTAGCTTTTCCTGCTGCTCTATTACATTGTACATTGTCATTAACAGAGAGAAACTGGAAACCAGAAAGGATAAATTAATGTATAGCTAAATGTAAAGCTTAACAAAACCTCCATTATCTTTTTCATTTATCTCGCAGAAAAACAATGTTATTTGTCTATTTTGTAAGTTTTAATACATTATCAGTGAAGAGTAAAATAAGTTTTATCCCTTTTGCGAGACATAAAATTGCATAATGTATATTTGTGATGTAAGTAAGAGTTATATTTTATAATAGGTTGAAAAAAAAAAAAGAGAGTCAGGGATAGCGTCTGTCTCTACGAGCAAAAGTCTGGTGTGGGAGATGTAGTGGACTAGCCACTGCGGGATACCCACGGAGTGAAGCGTTCGAGGCCTGTACAGACAGATGTGCTTGTTAGCCTTTTATTATTTTTTCTCTAGGGAAAGCATAGGGCCAGTTAAAAGTTGTTGTACATGGGCTATTTGCAGCCTCCATTGCATTTCTACTTAGTTCTGATTTCTGATGTATCCTCCACTGCTACATACCCACGCCTCCAGAGAGACCTGTCTGCTCCCTTACCTGCCCACCCCTGCCTACTCCTACTCCTACTCCTCCTCCTACTCCACCTTCTCCTCCTTCTACTTCTCTCTCCTCCTCCTTCTCCTCCTCTTTCTCCTCTCCTCTACTCCACCTTCTCCTCCTCCTACTCCTCCCTCTACTTCACCTTCCACTCCTCCTATTCCTCCCTCCCACTCCACCTTCCCCTCCTCCTACTCCACCTTCTCCTCCTCCTACTCCTCCCTCCTCCTCTTATTCAATCCTACTCCTCCTATTCCTCCTTCTACTCCACCTTCTCCTCCCTCTACTCCACCTTCTCCTCCTCCTACTCCTCCCTCTACTTCACCTTCTACTCCACCTTCTCCTCCCTCTACTCCACCTTCTCCTCCTCCTACTCCTCCTCCTACTCCACCTTCTCCTCCTTCTACTTCTCTCTCCTCCTCCTTCTCCTCCTCTTTCTCCTCTCCTCTACTCCACCTTCTCCTCCTCCTACTCCTCCCTCTACTTCACCTTCCCCTCCTACTATTCCTCCCTCCCACTCCACCTTCCCCTCCTCCTACTCCACCTTCTCCTCCTCCTACTCCTCCC